TGTTTAGGGTTTTATATGTCAAAACAAGCACTTTGAATTGGGCCTGGGCAGCAATTGGTAACCAATGTAATTTAAACAGAATCGGCTTGATATATCCCCTAGTGGCCCCACCACTCACCAGCCGCGCAGCTCGATTCTGGACGAGTTTCAATCACCGGACCGTTTTCAAAGGCAACCCCACGTAGCAAGAGAGGTTGTAAGAAAACAGGAACAGCAGGAGTGTGGATTTGGCTACAGATTGCTGATGTGGCAGGATGGCATGGATGCTGAAGTGAAGATAGCACTGCTTCTCAACAACTCCAGTGCCTTCTCCCTCTGTACTTTTGCAAACAGATTGCTACAGAGATTCTGCTCAGTTTACAATGATCTATCACCCCAAAGGAAAATTACCTTGCACAGCAGGTGGTCGGTGCTCTTAGGGACATTGGCATCACATGTTTGCTCCCAACCCCCATCGTGGACTGCATTGGGCATAAGAATGGAGTCCTTAGAACTCCATTTGCCCTTTAAAAAAGGCAGTTAGGAAGTGCCTGTACAGGCATTTGTGCTTTTTTTTTTTTAATTTTGAGAATGAGGTCTTGGGGGCATTCTCTCAAGGCCCCCAAAATGAAAACCACTCCAGGAGCAGGAAGAGTTATTTTTGGCAGAAGAAAGTGTAACCATTTATATGTAATCATACATACATGTATGTAACAAACATATTTCTCATTTTTTCAATTTTGAGGTCCTAGGGTGGCCTTACAGGGTTGCAAAACAACACTGCCTAAGAAATTTTTGGGGAAATATGGACACATCCCTAATCTTTGTAGCTGTGGCTCTCAACCTTGGGTAGCTCGGGTGTTCTTGGACTGCAGTTCCCAGAAACCCCAGCCAGCACAGCTGTTGATGAAGTCTTCTGGGAATTGTAGTCCAAGAACACCTGAATAACCAAAGGTTGGAACCACTGCTTTGTAGCAACCTATTACAGTAGTTAGCTCAGATACATCATCCATATGAAGCAATTGAAATTGTGGCTAGGCAATGGCTTGCCTAAGGCTATGAGCAAGATCAAAGCAAAGGTGAAGCCTTAACCAAGAAGTCCCAGCTTGTCTTGCACCTGTAGACGTGTGGTGATGTCAGTGGAAGAAAATGGTGGATACTGAAGAAATCTGTGGCATGGCTAGAAGAATAAAACTTGAAGGCTAGCTAGTACAAGGACTAGCCTTCCCCAGCCTCATGTTATCCAGGTAAGCTGGACAACAACTCCAAATATTCCCCACATAGCATAACAAATGCTCAAAATAGCAATGTTCTCCCCTATTCACCCAATAGTCCACCACTGTCTACTCTACAGTGTTTAAGCAGCAGGTTTGATTTATAAATGGAGAGTTACCTAGGAAGATGGCTTAGTCTCTGTCCCCCAGATGTGTCCCTGAATACACTTATTTGTCCCTACATCAGCAAATGGCTACCATTTATTCCTAAGGGAAAAGGTAAAGAGATGCACTTGGGAGAAAGAAAACCAATAGGAAGTTGTGTGAGACCAAGGAAACAGCCATGTTAAAGTGGCCATTTTCCCTCTGTAGTATAAATCTAGAGTAAAAATCTAAAGTGATAGGATAAAAGGATGGAGAGGAAAGGCATGGCTCAAGGAGATTGACTGGATCACTTCCTTTACTTTATAATTATCCATTCCCCTGAAACCCCATCATTTTCATCTTGAGAGAGAATTCTTGTTTGGAAGTTGATAAACTACCATCATCCTTTTTCAATATCCAAAGACCAGGACCAGGTAACTCTGCATTATTTATGATGGGACATGTTCAGCAAAGTGGAGGTTTCCCCTTTAGTGCTGTTTTTCAATAGAGAAAAAGAGTGAGCTACATGACACTCTGAATGGTCCCAGAGACCGTTTTTTATCTCCCGTAGATTGGGACGGCAAAACAACTGGTTGCTATGAGAAGCTCTTTCTTATTTGTGCATCCAAGATTACTTCAAGGACTTAATGTCTGACATTTATTTCACTGACTGACGAATTACACACACCAGCACTTTTAAACATGTTATTGCTTTATGCAATCTGAGAATGAGTCCAACAGAGCAATAAATTACATTGGTGTGCTTGGAAGGACTACAGTAAGGAGCAAGCGCTCAAACAATGTATGCAACAGAAATAAATGGAGCTTGCATCACACTGCAGAGTAATTCACATATGCATATCATCCCCCTGATGACTGCAACTTCCAGCGATGACTGGCATTCTGTGATGGCTAACTTCTTCTCTAACCCCACTCCGGATAGCAATTGAAAATTGCCTCATCTGGAACATGTTCTAAATGGCACCAGTTGACAAATTCAGATTCCAGCTACCAAGCACATGATAATGGTAGGGCATAGAGAAAACAAATGATGTGTAAACCAGCATATGCAATCTAGGTTACGGGTTATTTTAGGAGCAGAAAGCTGGCAGATCTGCTGAAAGAAAACTCCAGTTGACCCAAGCCAAATCAATGTAAGCCAGGAGAAAGCATAAAAGCTTCCTTCCAGTACAACTGCTGAAAATAGTTTAATGGCTGTTTGTTGAGGCAGTGCTTAGTAACACTGAGTAGGATTAGTACCGGCCCCAAATGCCATTTTGTATCCCATTCTCCCCAGAATTTGGAAATATTGCTTTTTTTGGACCTCAATTCACACATCTTCCGGCCAAGCATATATCCAATGCCATCAGGTCACACTTTTCTAAGCTGTGCATCTTTCTACCAGTATAACAAGTTTGTTACACTTGGTGTTGGTAGTGGGGAGTAGGCACACACATGGAAAAAACTAGAACAACATTTGAGCATCTGAAAGCGAAGAAGGCTTATCTAACTGGCCTGTGCAGAGGGTTGCCAATTCCCAAAATTTTGAAGAAATGCCTGTAATGAATGAACCTGTTAAGCCAACTTCATGGACACAAGCATTCTCTGGTAACAGGACCCCAACACAAGGGAAGCTCTTTTGAACATAAGGTTTACTTCCAAGTAAATATAATTCCGAGGATCATCAGACTTGGCACTAGAGCAAAAATGGAACAACCCACTATGACCAATCCACCATTGATGGAAGTGATAGATGCTAAGACAGCAGGATTTCTGTGTTAACAAATGGGCATGGTTACTGAAATCTGGTGGTGGCAGGAAAGAGTGCTGTACCATGAGGACATTCAAAAATGGGAAGATTAGCTATTGGGTTGGTAAGATAAGAGTCTAACTTCTTCTAAATCTGATGAACAAATTGGTAGAAAGTTTGCTTACACTACGTCAGCATACTGCCAAGGACACTTACCTAAATTATATGTTCAAAGGGCCACCAGCATTATTAAATACCAAAAGTGTCCTTTCCGGCTTTCAGTAACCACGCCCATTTCCAATTTTCTCCCAGCATCATTTTGGAAGCAAAAAAACTAGCATCGCTTTGGGAGCCACCTTAACCTGCACTGCCTCAAGGGGCCAGTTAGTAAGGTCTATTACCACATTCTCTGCTCCTTTTTTTGTAGCTAGTTCAAGGGAGGTGGACTTAGTAAGGTCTATTACCACATTCTTTGCTCCTTTTTTGTAGCTAGTTCAAGGGAGGTGGACCTCCTGAAGGGAACTAGATTTGGCCTAGGCATGTCCAGGTTCTGATTCCTTAGCAGATGTTACAAGTTTGAAGTCAAACTATAATGATTTCTTTATACAACCTCCACCTCCACTTAAAACAATTGGGGTTAGGGGGGTTTACTAAATGGAGGGAATTATAATGCTATGTAAACGTCATAGACTTACACCTTCTAGATTAATATGGCTGTGCCAAAATATTCAGTATTCATAAACTAAATAGCTATACAGAGGAGAAGTATAGGCCATATAAATTTGCTTCCTCAACCTATCACTCTGATGTCAGACAACTCCCACCATTTCTAGAAAGTATAGCAGGGCAATAAACCCCAAATTCAGAAGACCTCTTGCTACCCCTCTCCCTCCCTTCCCTTTTAATAAACTGCACTACACGTCACCCATATATTTTAAAACTTTTTTCATGAGCATAAAGGCTGAAGGCTAGCTGCTTACACACGGCTTTCCCCCACCCTAACTCAAAGATGATCAAGCATATAATTCTCTTAGTTGATGCAAAATTCCAACCTTATGAATGCAAGATAAGTGACCTTTAATTGAGGTCCCTTTAAATTCTACTTAGGTGTGTAGGTTGGGGGTCTTCCAAATCCAACTTCATTATTAAAATCCAAAAGACATCAGTGGCTTGGGAGTATTTTATGTCTCCTGTTGTATCAGCTGCTCTCCACCTTTTGGATAGAGATTGCCCAACCACTGGAAAAATTACACCATGCCTGCGTTCTATCCAGATCTATTTTTGCTCAGAATCTTTGGCTAGTCCAAAATATGGCAGTAAGAACAGAACCAGCTGGTGGGAACGTATCACACAGGTATTTTGGTATCTTCACTGGTTAACCGTTTTCTGTGGTGCTGGTCCTTCATGGCTTTCGGCCAGGGTACTTAATGGATCCCCTCATTTGAAACAATCCTGCCCATGCAGTAGGATTATCATTGAAAAAATTCCTCAGGGACTCCCATCTTCTGAGGCAAGGCAGATGGTGATCTGGCCGAGTGTGCCAATACATCATGTCTTGGGCCCATGGAAAATACAGATGACTCCCCCTCGTGCTAAAGGCTTCCAGTCACAACTGTTGAAGAAACTCCCCTTCACAATAATTGTTTGGCTGCTTCCTGTACCTCCCACGTTCCTTGTCCTTTCATTCCTGTCATCTTTCCCTTTTTCAGAACATCAAAAATGAGCTCAGGCAACAAGGGGATTGTGACAACTCCTCCTTTGGGTTCTCCCCCCCCCCACCGCCATTGAGTACAGAGCCATGGTGACAATAGGTTTACACACACACACCGCTGAGTACAGAGCCATGGTGACAATAGGTTTGTCTTTAAAGACATAATGTGGTTCGAAAGGAAGCACTACAGCAAAACCAGAAGTCTGTTAGCTGCAGTGAGTTGTCAACACATTGGGGATTACAACAGACAGCAAGCTTTAGCAGTAGGGAAGGGAGACCCAACAGTATCAGTAAGGGGCAGCTGTCTCCCCAAGTAGATGTTGGCAAGTCAACTGCAAACATATTTATTCAACTGAATGTCCACATAAAATTTGAATCATTGCAGTTCTGCAAGAATAATATAAACAGTTGATGTTCTCAGAGCTGGTCCAATTAAAATATTATCCATTGAAGCTGTGGCTCTCTCATTGCTATTATCTAGCATGTCACAATTCTTCATCATCTTGCTGATTTCTTTTCTGAGAAGACAACCAAGATATTGTGTTAGTATCTTAAAGACACTTCCCCTCAATGTTATAACCAGGAGCTGTGCATCCAGGCATACCAAGCCACAAAGACAGTGATTGCCCATCACCAGTTTTTTAAATGAACTAAAAATAATAAAGATTGCCTTATCCAATATTAGTTCCTGACCATCACCGACAAAGATAACACACAGGAATAGGCACAGAATTCTAGGGAAGAAAGCAGCTCTTAGATGGTATTAACACCTGGGATCCTTTTAAGGAGAAATGTGGGATTAAAATAATTCAAGTAAATAAAATTTAAATAAAACACCACTATATTTTTTTAAAAGTCCGAACAAGGAACTCTCCTTTCAAGCAGGGAAATCCACAGAAACAGAATTCCTGAGGTATTATTATGAAGATGGAACAGCTCTCCTTTAATTCAAAGGTTTGCTGTTGATACAACAGATTCTCTTTCAAACTTTCAGAACCAATGAATGCATCATTATGTACATATAGTGGGCCATTTAATAAATATATACTGGCTAGAATCTTATAGTCATGGCGAAAAATATTGGCACTCTTGCAATTCTGTCAGAAAATGCAACCCTTCTCTCAGAAAATTGTTGCAGTTCCAAATGTTTTGGTACTCACATGTTCCTTTCTTTGGTTTGCTTTGGAACAACACAAAAACAGAGAAGAAAAGTCAAATCTGATACAATCCAACACAGAAACCCAAGAATGCACTGGCCAAAATTATTGGCATTTTTAACTTAATATTTTCCCTTTGGAAAAAAAATAACTGAAATCAATCGCTTCCTGTAACCATGAATGAGTTCCTTACACCTCTCTACTGGAATTTTGGACCACTCTTCTTTTGCAAACTGCTCCAGGGCCTTCAGATTTGAAAGATGCCTTCTCCCAACTGCTGTTTTGAGATCTCTCCACAGGTGTTCTATAGGATTCAGATTTGGACTCATTGCTGGCCATTTCAGAACTCTCCAGCACTTTGTTTGTAACCATTTCTGAGTTCTTTTTGGAGTGTTTTTTGGATCATTGTCCTGCTGGAAGATCCATGACCTCTTGTGGAGATGCAGCTTTCTGGCACTGGACACTACGTTGTGCCCCAAAATTCTTTGGTAATCATCAGATTTCATGATACTGTTCACATAGTCAAGGCATCCAGTGCCAGAAACAACAAAGGTAAAGGTTCCCCTTGACCATCTGTCCAGTCGTGTCTGACTCTAGGTGGCAGTGTTCATCTCCGTTTCCAACCCACAGAGCTAGCGTTTTGTCCGCAGACAATCCTCCGTGGTCATGTGGCCAGCGTGACTAGACACGGAACGCCGTTTATCTTCACACCGAGGTGGTACCTATTTATCTATTCGCCTTTTTGCATGCTTTTGAACCGCTAGGTTGGCAGGGGCTGGGACAAGCGACAGGGGCTCACTCAGTCACGTGGATTCGATCTTACGACTGCAGATCTTCTGACCTTGCAGCACAGAGGCTTCAGCGGTTTAACCCGCAGCAAAGCAACCCCAAAACATCTTTGAACCTCCACCATGTTTGACTGTAGGGACTGTGTTCTTTTCTTTGCATGCCTCATTTCTTTTTCTGTAAACAGTGCCATGATGTCCCTGACCAAAAAGCTCTACTTTTGTCTCATCTGTTCACAGTACGTTCTCCCAGGAGGATTATGGTTTTGTCACGTAAGCTTTGGCATCCTCCAGTCTTGCTTTTTATGCCTTTGTGTCAGCAGTGGTGTCCTCCTGGGTCTCCTACTATAGCTGCTACTACTGGGTCTCCTTCCCTTTTCATTCAGATGGTGATGGATAGTGTGAGCTGACACTGTTGTACCCTGTGTCTGCAGATCAGCTTGAATTTGTTGGGAAGTTAATCTGGGTTCTGTATCCACTTTCAAACAACCCTTTGTTGTAATTTTTCAATAATTTTGCTGTTCTGTCTATGTCCAGGGAGGTTAGCTATAGTACCATGGGCTGTCAAGCCCTTGATGATATTGCACACAGTGGACACAGGAACGTTAAGATCTCTGGACTTGTAGCCTTGAGATTTCTCATGTTTTTCCACAATTTTTTTCTCTCAAATCCACAGACAACTCTTCACACTTCATTCTTTTCTCCATGCTCAGTGTCACACACAACACAAAGGTTGAGTCAACTTTTCTCCATCTTAACTGGTTGCAGGTATAATTACTATATTGCCCACACCCCTTACTTGCGGCAGCTGTGTCTAAATACAAATTAAAGGAGCATCACATGCTTGAAAAGCAATTATTACTTACACGGTGCCAATAATTTTGGCCACTGCATTTTTTGGTTTCTGTGTGGGATTGTATCAGATTTGACTTTTCTTCTGTTTTTTTTTTTTGTCTTGTTCCAGCGCAAATCAAAGAAAGGAACATGTGAGCACCAAAACATTTGCAACTGCAACAATTTTCTGAGAGAAGGGTTGCATTTTCTGACAGAATTGCAAGGGTGCCAATATTTTTGGCCATGACTGTATCATTGATTTATGCTCATGTTTGGGAGACTCTGTTCGGTCTTGGTAACAAACTGCCATTCACGAATGAGGTTCTGACTACATTCCTAAGTGTACATAAAATCACACTGTTCTGGCTACTATTGATGCTTCCTCCTGTTCCCTCCTCCTGGGGAATTTTTCAACCACTGGCTGTTAGTGGTTCATTAAACCTGATGGCCTGTTCCAGCACTTGCAAAGAATGGCTGAAATCCTGTTTCTTAGTGTAACAAAATTCATTATTTCAGTCCATTCTTAGTTGGCAAATGAAAAGTCTTTTTCATGATTCTTGGGATGTGTGCATGCCCCCAAGAATTGTGGTGGAGATTCTTTATTTGCCAGCTCAGAATGGACTGAAAGCTATGATTATTTTTACAATAAGCAACAGAACTTCAGTCTTGTTACTGTTTCCATAATGTGACCTTACTGTTGTTGGAAGTGATAGTAAAACTCAGCATACATTTGAGTAGATGCCTGTCTTTGCACAGGGGGGGAGAGAGAAAATCTCAGTTTTCCTACACTGTCCTCTACCTGCTCTGACCTTCCTTTGACCTTAGATTGCTATTCTTAGGGTTGATGACATCACTTCCTTCTCCATCACAGGTTTCTCTTGCCCCTCCAAGGAGGAAACATCTTGCATTTGTTCTGTGGATATGAAAAGGGTGGCCATGGTTCCTAATATCTTCAACTAAGTCAGTTGGAACTAAGACTTCTATAACCTTTCCTATCTCAAGTATGTTTCTCTAATAATTCCTAATTTTTTTAGAAAGACATGTGGATGTGACTCCTTTACCAAAGGAGAAGTGTCCTCAGGTAATTAGCCAATGTTTACGTTGCTCCTGTATTGTTGCACATGGACTCTCCAACAAACATGACAAAGGTCATGCTACAATCAAGCTCCAGCTCTTATTGAAGTACTCAAACAAGGTCAGGAGGGAACTTTGCGGCTTCTAGGATCATGCCCCATATCCTTTTTGTGCCTGTCTTTGAAACTGGAGGCTTCATGATCTGTAGCTACAACATTTGGGGTGCTTACTCTCATACTTATGTTCCACCATTAAGTGTCTTCTATAGAGTTTGATAGCACTTCCAGGTTTTAGATCAATAATGGGGTTTGATGAGCACACATGTCACATCTTATAATAAGTATGGGAAATGGATGCTCTTTAAGAACATTACTACAAATGGATAAATTTCTTTTCTATTAGTTTCAAGTTCTTTTTCCTGCAGTTGCTGTCAACTGAGTAACAGGAAATACTTGATGAAATGTTGAGAAGATTTCAGTCTATGTGATATCAAGGGTTATTTGGTCTTTTCTTTGTGTCTGAGGAGCAATATGATTAAACTTGTCAGAAAAACAAGTAGGCAGCTGATTGATTTTTAAGGAGAAACTCTGGTGCCTTCTGTGCTATGATCAATGTGCCTGATTTACAGAGAATAAACTGTCAAACACAATGCCCACCTGCCCTATCTAACACTTCTTTTGGAGCAGAAACTGAACAGTAGCGTTTGAAAGCTAAAAGAATGAAAAGCTTGTGAAAGCCTGATGTAATGCAGGAGGAACTTCATTTTCAAATCTTGATTCTCTCCAGAGATTCCATCCAACTTGCAAGGGGCCTCACAGGTCATCTAATAAAGCGATCCCCAACGTTTTTCGGTCTGTGGACTGGCTGGTGAAGGCGGGGCACCCCCCATGGACTGGCTGGTGAAGGTGGGGCACCCCCCCATGCTCGGGCACATGCGCAAGCGGCAGTGCAGCACAGCGCTTGTGTAATTTAGGACCATGGAAGCCAATGTAAAAAGCCCAGTGCAACCCTCGCCTGCCAGAGCCTCCCATGCAGGCAATCCGAGCCAAGCAGCCTTTCTGCTGGCCGTCCCCTTGCCTTGGCCTGCAGCATTCTTCACAAAAGGAGACTTTGTGATGGGCTGCCTCTGGACCCACTGCAGGACGCGGAAAGGGGGCTCTGCCTCTCCCGGCCAGCAGGGAGGCTTGCATAGCCTGTGCGCGTGCTCTCCCACTGAGTACTCCATCTCTTTCCCCCCCACATCCCTTTCCCCCTCACCACACAGACACACACACACACTCCTCTCGATCCCCCTGAGAGGGGCAACGGTAAGAGGTCTTCTCCACCCACACCCTCCTCCTTGCCAAGCCAGCAGAGCTTACCCACCTATTTCCTCTGGCAGTAGGGCTGGGCCGGGGCCGGGGTGGGGAAAGGAAGCAAAGTGGAGTCGTGCTGCTGGTGATGGTGGTGGGTTTTTGTTTGCTTGTTTGCTTTTGGCGGGAGTCCCACTGCCCCACGGGAGGGGAGGAGAGAATCAGGCTCGTTCTCTTTGTTCCTGTCTGTGCTCCTGCCGCCCGTTCGCCCGCCCCCGGGTTAGGGCTCCAGCAGTAGCTGGAAGTAGCCCCCTTCCTGCCCATGGTGGCTGGCAAGCCCTGGGAGACCTCCCTGGGGGTCCCCACCACCGCGATCCGCACCTTCGGAGCTCTCAAAGGGCTTCCTCTGATGTCGGGGGGGAACCCCTCTGAGAGCTCCGAAGGCAAAAAGGCAGGGAGAAAGGGGGGGAAATTTGAATTTCCAGCCCTTTCTCCCTGCCTTTTTGCAGGGAGTCATTTACGAACGGCTCCGTTAGCAAAAAAAATGGCATTCACTTGCGAACAGAGCCTCAACCTCATTGGTAGGTCGAGGCTTCGTTCGCAAGTCGATGCCAATTTTTGTCAACGGAGCCGTTCATAAATCGAAAAGTTCGCATGTAGTGACGTTTGTAAGTCGAGGGTTGACTGTATCTGTGGGGGTGGCATGGCTTGGAACCCATCCCCCACAGATACAGGGGACCTACTGCATTTCGTGCTGTAGAGCAAGGTATAGATGCTATACCTTTTGGAAGCATGTAAGACTGTGTGGCAACAGATGTATTTTTTTAAAAAAGCCATTGCAAGACAGAATCTTTGTATTATATGACATTATAATGATTTTCAAGGCCATGATTACCTGATGAGAATCCCAGTGATTCACATATATAAGTTCAATGTCCACTGGGACTGTCTGAAAACACACACCGCTCTCAACATAATTACTTCAAAATTGCATAGCTTTGGGAATTGTGCACATGACTGCCACAAACATCTGAAGATAAAGCCCTGTATTATAAAATTTTACCTACCAATTTGAGCAAGTCAATTAGTTTGTGAACATCTTCTCCAGTGGAAAGATCTACAAAATCTTTTGGTAGTCTGTAGCTGAGATAGGGACTAGGCTGGACAGTCAGGTTGCTGTTTGTATAACGGAATGATGGACAGTCCTAAATTCAGGGGGAATAAACATGAAATACCAGATTAAAATCACTACTGTATTGATCTGAAATTCTCTGCACGAATCTCACAACATACTGTACTCTGTAACACACTGGAGAATCTTAATTCAGCTAGTTGTATTTTACCAATAATTTTCTAAATGCACTTTGTGTTAGGAAATGCTGCACAGTGTTTTGCAGCAGTCCAATGTTTCAAGACTTCACAGAGCTTTAGTCAACAGCTGAATTTGGAGGAGGGCTATTCTGAGAATGGATGAGTTCAAATTTGCCTGCTGGTGGAGTCTATTCCCAAAGAGCTGCCTCTGCACCCTCCCACTACCCGTTTAATTGGCAAGGTGGGGGTAATAGGATTGCTCACAGTGCCCCCTGAGCCTCTGGCTGCCTCCCATTTCTGTAACAAGGACTGAGAAATCAGCATTCTCAGTCCTTGAGCTGAAAATGGAACTGACAGTTCAGTTTTATGGTGAAGCAGAACCCATCATTTATAAATGAAGTAACATGAGAAAATGAAATATTGTTAAAGGTATAAGGCAAATGTTCATAAATTAAGGTGAGCTGCAGAGAGAATTCTATTACCCGTCAGAAATTATGTTTCTGCCAGGAGCACAGAATGTTATGAGCACCTTGAAAAAGAAGGATTGTAACTTGGGATGCCAGTTTTACATTAATCTTGTGCCGCACTTTTCCCCCCAGACACCTAGAAGTTCTTGCATCCCCATATGCAGAAGCTCGTGAATAGAGTTTGTAAAGGGTATCTCCCCATCACTCCTACTGTTCAAATGTAGTCATGAGAGAGAACAATCAATTGATTGGTTGACTGGCCCATTTTAATAATAATAATAATATAATTTATTGTCATTGAGCCCATTTTATTTGGCCTGCCATGACCCTATCAAGTTTTAATCAAAGTATGACAGCAGGTTTGGTTTACTTCATTTACACACAACCTCCCCCAACAGCTTTATTGAAAAGAAAATTTGAGACAGATGCCGTATACTACATAAATGTTTCCATTGGGGTAGTTATGTGTGCAGCAGCAGTACCAAGAGACTTATATCATCTTACTTTAGCACTTTGTATTTGGCCTAAACTTCTGTGGACTATATCAGTGTTCCCCAACCTTGGGCCTCCAGATGTTCTTGGACTACAGCTCCCAGAAGCCTTCACCACCTCTGCTAGCCAGGATTTCTGAGAGTTGAAGTCCAAGAACATCTGGAGGCCCAAGGCTGGGGACCACTGGACTAATGATTGTATCTAGTGCCAGTGGGCTGTTGTTCATGAACTAGAAATGGGCACAAATCATCTGAGAACGGAAGCACACATTACTGCTGTGACTGGTCACACAAAGAGAAGGAGATGAGCAGCACGCACTGGCTGGTGAGTGAGGGAGCCAGGTGAGTGGTGGGGAAAGGGAATGCGCAGCACTTGCATGTGCTGGATTATGGAGAAAGCCAGAGAGTTCCAGAAAAACATCTTCTGCTTCATTGACTACGAAAAAGCCTTTGACTGTGTAGACCACAACAAATTATGGCAAGTTCTTAAAGAAATGGGAGTGCCTAACCACCACCACCACCACCACCACCATCATCATGATTATGATTTATTTTATTTTATTTATCCCCCGCCTATCTGGTCATTACAACCACTCTAGGAAGCTATTATTATTATTATTGGATTTCTACCCCGCCCATCTAGACCAAAGGTCTACTCTAGGTGGCATCCTATCTATCTCCCGAGAAATCTATATGTGGGACAGGAAGCAACAGTTAGAACTGGATATGGAATCGCAAAGCCATTGAAACCTATTGAGTCAGCTACAATACATTCCAATGGAGGATACATTGTATCGTTTAACGATGTTTCCTATGGGTTTTTTCGCTTAAGGACGGCAATCCGTGCCTATTGGAACGGATTAACCGGTTTCCAATGCATCTCTATGGGAAATGGTGTTTCGCATAAAGTTTTTTTCGCATAAGGTTTTTTTTTTTGGAACCAATTAAAAACGTTATGCGAGGCACCACTGTATTATTATTGGATTTCTACCCCGCCCATCTAGACCAAAGGTCTACTCTAGGTGGCATCCTATCTATCTCCCGAGAAATCTATATGTGGGACAGGAAGCAACAGTTAGAACTGGATATGGAACAACTGATTGGTTCAAAATTGGAAAAGGAGTATGACAAGGCTGTATATTGTCCCCCTGCTTATTTAACTTATACTGTATGCAGAATACATCATGTGAAAGGCCAGACTGGATGAATCCCAAGCCGGAATTAAGATTGCCGGAAGAAATATCAACAACCTGCAATATGCAGATGATACCACTCTGATGGCAGAAAGTGAGGAGGAATTAGCCTCTTAATGAGGGTGAAAGAGGAGAGCACAAAAATGGTCTGAAGCTCAACATTAAAAAAACTAAGATCATGGTCACTGGTCCCATCACCTCCTGGCAAACAGAAGAGGAGAATGGTCAAACAGAATGGTCATCTAAAGATGACAATTAGAGGCATCCCTTTTACCTGTTTTCGTATTCCAGGTCCCAGAATACTCCAAGTATTCCCCAAGCAGAATTCCAGGAGTTTCAGTTGATAAACATACACCTGCAGAGAGCTAACTTCCATTCACCCAGGGCAAGCCCTACCTCTGAGGCTGGATGATCTTCTCAGGTCTGTTGTTATTGTTTTTAAAAGGAATCTGCTGCAATACTTCCTGGTAGTCATAGTTTCCATGCCCATTAGGCACAATAGAGGAGGCCTCATAACCCTTCCTATCCCAAGCATATTTCTCTAAATAGTTTCTTATTTTCTTAGAAAGAAGTCTGCGTGTGCTTCCTTTACAAAAGGGGAAGTGTATTCTGGTAATCAATGTTCAAGGCAATTCTAAAAAATGAGGGCAGCTCAAACAAAAAAAAATGTAATTTTTACATTGGACCAGCATGGTCAGTATGAAAGTTGGCACAACTTTAGCGGACAGTCTGGTCTTGCTCTGTGCCGAATTTGGAGAAGTATGGACACAAAATTTTTGAGTTATGATTTTTTAGAAATAAAACTATATTATCTCCCTGCTCAGAAATAAGTAACCCCAAATGACCCCAGATTTAAAATAAATCACATAAACTTAAAAGACCAATCTTGCTTATCTTGAAAGATAATTCTTGGCCCCACCTCCTTTTTTTATTCAAAGAATCCAGGCTGTAGAGGCTGAAATATGGGAGAAACTGTGATTTTGTTACAACACTGAGCATGTGTGGTACAGGCTTGCCAGCAAGAGCTTTGGGAAATGATACACTGTATTGTAGCTAAGAACTGTAAGTCAACTAACCATCACAGCTATTATGGAAATAGTAAAAAAAAGAAGGGGTTGATTAAAGAAAGTGAGAGACTAGAGCAGCAATGGCAAACCTATGGCGCACGTGCCACAGCTGGCACACACAGCCATCAAGAAATACTTATCCATCTTCCCAGATTTCGGCACTCCCCTCTGCTGATGCAGTGGTCCAGCGGAGGGGTGCAATGGCGGCCATTACCAATCTAGCCCAATGGGGGATTGGAGGATGGGTAAGTATTACTGTTAATACTATCCCTAGACCAAAAAAAAGCATTTAACCCTTGCAGTGCAGGGCAGTTGTTTTTTTCTAAACTCAAACCTCATTATTCAAGTTTAATTGCAGTGTTAGCACTTTGAAACAAATAAGTTGGTTTTGTGTTGCAGTTTGGGCACTCGTGCTCAAAAATGTTTGCCAGCACTGGACTAGAGTGTCCTCCAGAAAAGGACATGTATCTGTCATGTATCGTCAGGGAATTAACATACAATTTTGTAAGGCATGTTCAATTTCTCCATACCTTAGAAAAGCAGATAACTGAGTTTTGTTCTAGAATGTTTCATAAACATCATCTCAGTATTTTTAAGATCAGTCTCCAGACACAGGCTTTCAAATGATAAATCAGCTCCACATGCGGGACTATCTGAACTTTTGAGCATGTCAATTAGGACCCAATTAGCTGACACTTAAGCTAACATTTTCATTCATCCAGGCCAAACAACCTATTTCAGATTTCCCCCGACTTGGTGCCTCTTTGTAAATGGTAGTGAGCACTACATGGTATCCTAGAGACCATCTTCACTGCTGTCATTGGTGTTTTCAACATTTGGGTTGCCCTTTGCTATATGCTATGGTCATATAGGCACAATATTGTGCATCAATATGGGCACATTTCCTGGTGTTCTGAATCATTGATAGAGAAGAACTGAATCATTATCTGAATAATTCAGCTTTAATGGGAAGTTGAGAAAACCATTTCCAGCAAGAGAAAAATTGTTCTGGTGGATATGTGATGCATGGAAAATGAATTCTGATGTTCAGGCATGAAAAAGACTACAGGAATCAAGAAAACCTGCTTAATGTGGCACTTTTTTTAAAAAAAAATTTAACATTGATTTGATTCTTACCTGTTCCATGGCTGCACCTTCACTCTGGTCATCTTTTAAAATGTTCCCAGACCTCAGTTCCTCCCAGGTAAAGAGTAGAGAATCTGTTACTTCACCAAATGGATTAAAATCGATCAACCACACTCTGCCCTGCAGGAATTAAAATAGTAGAGGTAATGCATAAGTCTGTTCATAGGGGACAACATAAAAATACATTCCGGAATATAATGAAAATTCAAGATAGCACTGATTTGCATGCTCATTTAAGTATAACTATATTTTATTGGCCAAAGTCCTGTTTTATGTGCAGTAGTTGCACTTATACCATGGCAGAAATGCTTTCCCTGAAGCACTTCTGCTAATGTATTGTGCAATCAGTCATGCTGGGATACTGTACAATATTTTTTTTCAAATCTTAATAGTGAGCACACCTTGCTCAGCAGAGATCTTGTCATTCATCAACATTAATTAGGAGGAATACACAGAGTTCCATATGTTTCCAAGATTTCAAAATTGCACTTTTATGACCTTTTTTTAACCTAATATAAATTTGTATGGTGCCAAGGATTACAGTCAGCATTTATTATTAACAACATCTAGGAAATGTTTTTTTTTTCAAATCAAGTAATCTGTTTCTTTTTGGATGATTGTGACCAAGAGTACGTGGTGGGGAGGAAAGTTAGCTACTCCCTCTCCTTGATCTGGTAAAGCAACGGCACAAGGGCTGTCTTAACTGCAGTCTGCAGACACTTTGGCCAGAGAATATCCTCTTTCCCCTGCTTTAATTACAGTTGAGGGTAAACTTAGTATTTTTTAGAGACTAGTAACATCTGATACTAAGCAGGTTCTCCATCATCAGACTTCCTAATCATTTCAAACATTAATTTAAGTATGTGGCTTTGTCATTCTCCCCCATGGGATTAAGAGGGAAATTCATGTTCAGGATAAGTGTATAATCCTGTTATTTTCTCCTAAGCTCTTAACAATGGTTTTAAAAATTCTGATGCTCCAGAGAACCTTCTCTTAAGTGGGTCCTGTTGCATGTCTTCAGCTGCAACTCCCACCAGCCCTGGCAAATGGCCATGATGGAAGCTGGAATCTAAGCTCTTTTGAGAGACTCATGCTGGGGAAGATCCTATATGAAACTTCAAATTGGTGAATGCAGAAACAGTCAGCAGCAAAATGTCACAGCAAATCTTTCAGGCTCATGCAAAACACATACTCAAACATTATTTTCTACCATAATAACTTTTTTAAAAATATATATTGTCAGAATATAGAAATTTTGTAGGCCTGAACATGTATAAGTGTTTCATTAACGAGCTGCCATTGTGCACAGATGTGAGAATGCTGAATCACTCTGGAGATGATGCAATGTCTTGAAACCAGAAGAAGACCAGGTGCAAAGGATGAAGGCATCTGTCTTCTGATTGGACTAAAAATGCCATGTACATGTATATAAGTGGACTGTGTCTTTGTGTCTTTCTCTTCCTCCTCTACCACTTGCTGCCATGCATTATGCCCGATTGTATAAAGAGTTCCTGCCATGCTGTTGAGATGCCTGCCTGTTAATATCTGTAAATACTTGTAAATACAACCGTCTTGCAGCAAAGAAGAACTTGTAAGTGTCTTCAATAATTCTGCGTATTTCTACTGTTGCCAAAATCTGTGACATATATATACTTTGTAATGAAACTAGTTCCTCAGTACATTGGTAACAGGACCATTTGGGTGGTACGCGTCTCTGAAAACCCACAGGTGTTCAAGATGATCTCCTTGACACAGGTAATTATTCCAGGCTGAACCATAGAAAGCAATATAGCTTAACAATCACCCTATATTTGATTTTTAAAGATTGATTGATTGATTGATTGATTGCCTGCCTGCCTGCCTGCCTGCCTTCCACAGGACTTTGCTTTACCACTGTCCTGGGCTACACTGTATTCCTTATCTCAAAAACACTTTATAACATTTATCTTTCACTCCAATGCAGCTGTTTCCTGAAGAAAGATTAATATTCTAGAGAACAGAACTCTTTATGATTGAACAATATGAAAGGACACCTTCTGTGGCCTTTCTCTCGCTATCTAAAATATAACACCTAAGGGCTGTCTATCTTCTCCAAGTACAGAGGAGAAACAGAACCTGCAGGGTTTTCTCTGTGGCGATGGAAAAGCAGAGCTTCCAGTAGGTATAGCTCAAAGGGATCTCTTAACTTCAGATATAATCCTTCCACCAAATGCAATATATTATCTGGCCTTGCTGGAAAATTAGATAACACAACCCCTTGGCCAGTAAGATGAAAGAATAACATTTTCAGCAAGATGTGGTAGGGAAGGCTGTCAACATCCTACAGATAAGAACAGTCAAACTAAACTAAGTTGCTTGGGAGTTTACAAAGATGTGAGTAGATCAGCCTTGTAAATAACAGGGAAAAAATAGCAAAACTGAATAGCCTGTAGATGTTTTTTTAATTAGTGATCCCTCCCTGCAGTCTGACACACAGATTGCTAACTTCCGTGGAGAGTATTAGAAACTTTTGCTAGAAGAGAGGTAGGTTATACTGCCCATCCACCAAAAACCCACTGCATTTATATTTTAGCAATATTCAAGTCTGATTTCAATACGGCTACTCCCAAGATCTGCTTGCAGTGGAGCTGACCTACTGGAAACTAAACAGTGTCCTTTACAACCAGGATCTTGATTATTAGTAACACTGAAGTTTTGGCTTAGAAATTGTTTCTTTACGTTGTCCTCTGATTGCAACTACACAGTATGTAGACAAATTTCTATCCACAGCAATGGGAGTTCAAAGGCAAATAAATGGTGCTGGGATTAAAGGTGTGGGGGGGGCATTGTAGATTCACATGTTTATATCTGTATACTACAGTTCTTTGTTCACCATAGTGACAATTCTTTGTTCACCGTAGTGACTGGTCTGGTCTGATCTGGACATTAAGGTTTTTAAGAATTATAAAAAAGAAAATTGAAAAGCATGAATAGAGCTACAGCAGGATTGGCCTCGGTGAGTCACTGAAAAAGTGTGGGGTGCTTTAGCAATCAGTGTGGACCTTTGACAGCAATGCTGCTTAAATTTCAAGTCCTCATCAATCAGATAGACTGCTCCTATTCTTGAGGAATGAATCAGCTGAGAAAGTGATACACACATCCTTGCAGTCTAAGGAATGCCACTCTGTCTAGGATCTTGCCCTCTCCAAATCCAGGTTTGCAACTATCACCTTGAAAGTGTCCCTAAATATCCAGTCTTCAAAGCCACCTGGCATACTTTAAAGCTAGGAAAAAAAAATAAAACTACTGCTGTAAATTTCAGGTGCAAATTGCTGCAGAAAGTCAGCACAGGCATTTCCTGTCACATGCTGAATGACACAACTGATGTGTGACAACAAATGACTTCTGAACTTTTAATCAACAACTGAGACTTGTGACTTACGCCAACATGCATAACTAATAGGATTCTGGGCAATGTATGATTGTACATCCCCCCTTCCCTGTCTCCATCCTCAAATAAGGCAACAAACACATTTCAATAAGATCTCTGAAAGGGTGGAAGCAGATATTATCTTTAGATCTGGAAGACAACTACAGTAATTAATTTCCCAGGTGCCTACGGCAGAGTAGTTCTATTACATGCTCTGCAATTTTTTTGTTCATGTTTAAAGAATTATATTTTGGGGAGTAATAGCATTACCTCTTCTAAAGCAAAAGGGTTGCAGTTAAAACCAGCTTTAAGATTAAGCTCAGGAATTTTACAGTAAACCCTGCCAGGTAGTTGCTATTTTAAAGCTTTATCAATGTTGTAATAGCAAGCAACCAAGGAAACAACATATTAATAGCAGAATGGCTGCACAAAGCCAAATATAACTTAACTGATTTCAGAAATTCATTACTTATTTAATCATCAATACTTTATCAAGTTAAAAAAAAAATTGTCACTTTGAGTAAAATGTTACCAGAGCTCAAATTAAACAAAGCAGTACGCTGTATGAAACACTAATAAATAAACTAGTAGATTTAGCTGGTTCAAATAACGCAACAAAAATCCACACTATCAAGCTCAGGTCCTATATCTGGTTTGATAAGGAGTGTATTGATGCAAAAAAAAAACCTGGTAACAAAGCAAAACTTGAATAGAAAAGAAGGAAAGGCTTGATATGGCAAGCTATAACTAACAATTTGGCAGAATAACTTAAGCATAAATAAGGATGCAGCTATTATTGCAGAATAAATTCAAATGGGCTTAAATAAAGAATTTAGATATGTTATGTAATAATGGCTGAAAACCAGTAGAAACCTGCAACTAAGAAATCAGTGAGGATTTGGTAAGTCCTCTGTAAGTTCCCTTGATTCAATGGGCCTACTCTAGTTGCAACTTACTATTACCACTGAATTTTAGCCATTCAGTGGTAATAGAAGGCATAAACCAGTGACTCTACTAGCATCAACTGCAGTCACTGACACTAGACAGCAGTTTTGATTATAGAACCTCAGTTTCTACTCCTTTCTAGGCTTTAACTAAAGCAATTTGACATAATCCATATGTGTGACATTTGTATTTATTTGCACTGTCTTCACACTAAACAACTCCCAATAAATTTCATTACAAGGCAGGCAGGCATCCAAAGTACAGTAGTAGTTTTATTTCCCCAAGGGCATTTAACAACTTGTCCAGCTTAACACAGCACATGGCAAATCTCTTTTGAAACAGAGAAGTGTGGAAATCTGTTCCTGAAATGCTGTTCAGAGTGAGGGAGGGAATCCTTTTGGCACTCACACACCTCTGGATCTCAGCTGCACTAGTCACGCTTGCTAGAAATAAATTTCAAAGAAAGTCAAAGACTGGCAGCACCCTGAATTGTATTATGCTTGAGTACAATGTTGGTTCACTTTTTTAATATTAGAGTACCGAAGTAGGCCACATGATACCTTTGTCTTGGGAAGGAAAAGACCACAGAATAAAGTTATCTCTAATTACGTAGGAAGCAACAGAATTTGTATACAGAGAAAATGAGACGTTGCCCAACCAAAACGTTCACTTACCCAGCTGTCCCTATAGACATCAAACACAACTGGAAAGAATAAAAATAGGGTTGGGGGGAAAAGGAGAAGTTAGGTTAATATAGTTATTCTGCTAGCAGAAAGCAAAAAAGGGGGCAAATAGAACAATTTCACACCTTACATTCTGAGGCTTTTGGAAAATTCACAGTGTATTTTTCCCCTTATGCTAGGGAAGAGTGAAGGAGGCCAGGGGAAAGCTGCACCTAAAGATGTCAGCTATTTCCACTTCGTCCCTCAGGAGTTGGTACTTGCTTTAGAAGACGACAGAGGTTGTGTGTAGCCCCATCAGTCCATGGGGAACAGCCCTGTCACCTGAGCACTCATGCCTTTCTGAAACCATGGAAACACCGGCCTTCATCACACTGCACCTCTTCATTATAAATTAACTGTGTGGCTACATTATGAATACACTGAACAACTGTTGTGCCCCATTCTCAAAAATATATGGGTGAGAAGACAAACGTTTACAGAATAGAACAACTACAAAAATCTTGGGTCTTCTCTACCGGGGAAAACTAAATCTTACTGGACTGTATCATCATCTTTCTGTCTGACAGAGCGCCCAACTTAGTGAAACACTATTCGGGGCAGTTTGCGTAATTAAGCAAAGCATACACCCAGTTAAAATAACAAAATACATAATACCACAAACTAAACAGAAACAGCAACGTAAGAATGACACCTGATAATTTAAAATTAAACCCAATTACATGAAACATAACATAATAAACAACATGTGCTTTGATGTAATAAAAAATAATCAATGAGCATCATTACAAATAGTAACTGTTCCTGGTTCAGCGGTTCCTCTAGCCGCCTAGAGTGGTCTTAACCAACCAGATAGGTGGGATATAAACAAAATAAATAAAAAATAAATAAAATAAATTTGCCCTTTGCATGAACAGGTGTTGTCCAGTTCTGCCTCCTCTGACAGGCACCCGTTCAGAGGCAGTGCCCTGGCTTCCCTGCCCCATCTCCTCTAGATGCTGCTTCTGAGTGGGCATCAACTGGAGGAGGCAGAGCTGGGAAGCACTGAACACCTTTTTGTCCAAAGGATGAACCGTCATGAACTGCATACCCATCTCTAGTCTACAAATATAAAGCACAGGTCTCAAAATTAGTCTAGGAGGTTGCCAAAGGCCTCCTTAAACAACTCTGTCTTTAATAATCTTCTAAAGATCTATAAGGAGTGGGGCCGTAAAATAAGGGTAGAGAGATCATGGCCCAGGGCTGCTTGCTGGCTTTCAAGATTGGTCTGGCAGCCCCTAGCCGCCAGTAGAATCCACCCTCACAAGAAGAGGCTTTTTCTAGCAAAAAAAAAAAAAAATTTCCATTGCTTGTCTTGGAACAGTGATTAACCTTTTACACAGGTCACAGGACACCATTAAAGAGTTTAACACAGGAAAATACCAGTTCAGATGCAATTTTTATTTGGCTGGTCATCATAGCTTTACTGATATCTGTCAGCTGTGCCAGAATGATAGTTCGTTTGGCACCAGAAGATAAACGTTAATATTTCTGTCTATAGAAACCCTCCCTCCATTATCTTCTAATTGAAAAAAATCAATTACAAATTAGCTGATTAAAGGTCAATTATTTATTCTACGAAAGAGTGCCAACTGCTTAATCGCAGAGTATATGTTACAAAATCATACACACCAATGCTAATAGACATCTGAAGGTTGTATGCTGTTTTTTTCCCACTCTCTGCTCTTGGGGACTAACACTCCCACTTTACCCAAATGTAATGAATAAAATAACGTTAGACTGTGAATCACAATCAGACAAACTACATGGGCACTTAGGGCAAAGCCACAGGAAAAAGGTGCTGGAAAAATCTAGGAGAACTACTAATCCAGCCAAAGGAGCAAGCCAATTTTAATTAAAAAGCAACTTGCCTCTTTAAACCATGTTAGTGATTACAGCTGAAATTTTAGCAATCTCTCTCTCTCCATACATCGTTCTCCCCCTTTTCCTAACTCCAATACATCATTCTAGTTCTACGAGACTGCAGTCCCAATAATTTTTATAAGAAAACAACCAGCTTTATGAACAAATAAGTCTGCATTTCAGTAAGCAGACTCTATTATGAAGAGAAACTGTAACTTTTTTTAAAAAAAAAAAACCCTTCCTGATTTACTTACAGTCTTCATCAAAGAACTTATACTGTATGTGTTTCTTGAAAAACTCCTGGATACATCTGCAAATCTCTTCTTTTTGTTTAAAGATATGCTCATAATACTGAGTGTAGTCTCGCTGGGAAATACCTGTCAGAAAAATTATATCAGTCACCCAGAACTAGTGTAACATTTAAATGGAATGCCAGGTTGTTGCAGGAATAGGAATTATGCATGTTGTTTCTTGAACAAATGTATAAAAATGAGAGTTCTCACTACTGTATTTAGCCATTCTCTTTACTTGTGTTTACAAAAGCCTTTGATCATCTTTGCAACAACAGATACCAAGGGATGCAAAATGGCCAAGCTGATCTAGTTTTTAAATAATTCATCTCCTTTACAAAACATTTAAAATGTGGTGTTTGGGACTACGGCTGAGATAATATGCCTTTGTGCTAATTACCTCAGGGCTACTTGAAATCTGGCATGACTTAAAAAATACTTCAGAAGGAGAGTAAAATATTTCACCAAGACAGTTATCCAGAAGTAGAAGCTGCTTCTCCCTTTTCTCCATCACGCTAGTCATAAGAGTGGTCAGTGAAGTTGTGAAATTAAATACAGAAAATCTGAGCAGGGTAACTTCCACACAGAGAGTCTACAAAAGCTTGTCCAACAAAGAGCCACATGCAAACATGTTTACCTATTTCTCAGTGTTACAAATAAAGATTTCTTTGCACCCTGTTCTTCTCCCAAGGATGTCATAGTGGTATAGTCCAGCAGGAGATTGCTGAGATTGGTTAAGACATAGCAATATGTCGAGGGGCATATTCGAACTCAGCATATGCACCAGAGTCAGTCTACTAAAATGTTCTGAGGTGGGATCAGAGAAACATTCCAGACAATCTAGCTAGTTTTCCCTTCACTCTGTAACAGCAAAGGTGAAAATCTATATAGAAGACATGAATCAGATTTTTAATTGCTTTTCTGTATGCTGAACCCAAAGAGCCATGCAAACTGAACCTGAAATTTAAAAAAAAAGCTGTAAAAATGTAGGTAAGAGTTCAGAATTATAAAACTCACCAACATCCCCTGACTACACCTGTTACTGGGATAGCAAAGCATCATTAACTTTTTGCTTTGTCACCTTTCATTGTAAACCACTTGAAGGATAATGTATATGGAACGGTGATATACAAATAAAGTGCCTATGAACTAAACAAGGATAGAAAAAAGAAAATGACTAATGGCTAGGTCACAGTGGCTGAAATCCTGCTGCTTAATGTAGTGACTTGTGCTAGAGTAGGCCCATTGAATCAGTGAGTCAACACCTTTGTAAGGTCCATTGATTCTAATGATCCAACTCTAGTTCCACCTTGCTTGAGCACAATGATTTACTAGGCCAGGGGTCTCAAACATGCGGCCCGGGGGCCATTTGCGCCCCCCGCCTTGCCTGCCCCCCAAAGCACCCACGCGTCCTCTGCAGAGCGCCTCCAAGCCGCCACCAGCAGCTGCCACCGCCTATTTTAGGGAAGCGGCTCTCTGGATCTCTTTCTCGGCACCCCCAGCACCAGCCCGGCCAGCGGCCGCCTCAGCACCCAGCGATGCTTCCTCCTCCTCCTCTTCATCCTGCTTCAGCCACCTCGGCTCTGGAGGCTGCCTGGGCTTGCCTCGCAAAGTTTGCTCCCCTGTCATGGTGGGGGTAGGAGCTGCTGCTGTGTGCCTTTTTTTGAGGGAGGCCCTCAGAGAAAGGTTGCCGGACCTCCGTGTGTGTGTGTGTGTATTTGTGTGTGCGCATGTGCCCGCAAGCACCTGTGGGGGTGCCCCGTTTTGTTTAATTTCGTGGGTACCCATGGGGGCTTTTCTCCTTTGGCAAGGCGATTCTGTGAGGGTTTTTAAAAAAGTTTTAGGTCGTGCCCTCCTCCCCTCCCCCGGCTAGGCAGTCGCTGGCGCTCCCTCCCTTCTCTGCTTCTTCATTTTGCTGCTGCTGGTGGTGGTGGTAGTGAAGAAGGAGCTGGAGGGGGTCGTGGCTGGTGAGGAGGGCTTGCACACTTCTCCTCTTTGGAGTACCAGCCGGGCTAAGGAAACTCCTGGGCCGCTTCCTAGGGCTCTTGCTCCGCTTGGCGGAAAATCTGGTGCAGCCCAGCCTCACCCAGCCTCTGCCTCCAGCAGCCCCCAGGTAAATTGAGTTTGAGACCCCTGTACTAGGCTAAGCTTTAAGCCAGTATGTATTCCTCATATGAAAGGCATGATACCTCCTGTGAAAACAAATAAAATAAAGCCTTAGAAAAGCAATGAATTGAAGAACCATGAAGAATATGCTCACCTATCAGTTTGTTTTCTTTTACAAAGCATCTGAATTCTGCCCCAGGAATCAATTCACACCATTTTCTGAGTACAAGCTATTGGAAACAAGCATAAAAACAGTAATAGTAGTCATCATCATTGCAACTAGGTAATTATTAATTAGCATAAAACAACGCATTTACAACCTAAGCAATAGTCAATAATATTTTACAGCATAGTACTTGGAAACAAACAAGATTGCTGTAAACCCATCCAAAGAGCTGAAGTATTCTTCAAGGGAGATTTCTGATACATTTTATCTGCAAGAAACACTTAGCTAACATGAAAATATTTTGTGAACTTCTATTACAAATATTAATAGAATGGTGGGAAATCTGTCAAAGACCCACCGAATCCTGCATTCCATTTGGAACATTGGTCAACCAGATGGCTGGAAAATTATGGGCAATGCATGGATGCCACAATAACCATACACAGCTGACTGGCCGCAGCAGAATCTGCGGTACACTTGGAGAGCAACAGTGTATATATGAACAAACATTTTCGTAAGGTATGCCAAAAACATTTGTTCAGCACTTCTAAAAACATACACACAATGTTTGCAATGTCCCCCCCCAAACTTAAATACTGTAGTTCAAATTCTGCCGAAGCAACAAGAGTCAATTACGTAATCTGAGTTCATTCAAGGTAAAACCAAAGATGTCCTGTTTGCTTAATTAGTGGCATAACATATCAATAGCACCTTTGTCAGTACAGGGGAAAAAAACAATAAGAAAATTTTAAAAAAATTAGGATCCAACAGGGTTGTCTGACAATACTGCTTTTGTCAGCAGAATTAGGAAGGAGGCAATTCCTCTCTTGCCATTCAATCCTCTGTATGCCCAAAAACTGCTCCAGAAGAAGTTCTGGTGCATGGAAACCTTTGGGGGGGGGGGAGAGAAGGAAGTCCCTTTATGCTAACAGTCAGTTGCTAGCATATGTTCGACTTAAGCTTTTGTACAGCACTGCTATCTACCCTTTTATACAAAGCTTCTTACCTGATATTCCAAACTGGGGTCAGGAGAATCATCACTACAGTGGATAAATCTATGGGGAAATACAAGAAACGTCTTTTTTTCCCCATCTGCTAATTTTTTTTAAAGCAGAAGCACTCAACACAAAAACATCATAAATGGGTGGTAATGAAAAATATTAATTGAGAAGTAAAACTTTAAAATGTGAAAGAACATTTATGTGGCAATTGTGCAATGTAACAGGCTGGATCCAGCCCAAAGCAAATTCTACTGAAATCACTGGGGCTTGGGTTCAACAACTTCCAATACAACCTGTATGTATCTTTACAGAAGTTAAATCTCATTAAGTTCTGTGAGCACCATTTGAAACATGATTGAATAAGTATTCTTGCACCTACGATACACTGCCTGTGGCACCTAGCACTGTTCTCCAGATACAGCGTTTTATTTTTTAACTTGTGCATACCTCTTCTTTCCCTCAAAGAAGCCCTGGGTGGCTTATTTGTGGTTAGCAGGGGGCCTCCACCAGAGCTCAGTCTGTTTATATTTAGCAGTACTGCTACATCAAGTGCCTTCAAAACAATTCTTACAAATTCTGAACATACTTTGGCATGGCTATACATCTATTGGAACAATTAGGTTACATCCGCAAGCTCAGGGCATCAAAGCAAATAGCATTATTTCTCCTGTTCCAACATTATATTAGGGCTTCCCTAGACAGCACAGATTTTGATACATGAGCTGTCAGTGGGTCACTAATGTTAGTATTTGCAATAGTTCATATTACAACCAGAGAATTACGAAAGCTTTTTTGAGAGACTGAGGAATCTTGGTTCTTTTAAGCTCTTTCCATCCATCTTTCAGGATCTCTGAGAAAAAAAAAGAATCAACGTACAGTATATGGATGCCATTTATGTAGAAAAACATTACTGAAACCCTATTGAGTTTCCCAGTGGCTGGTGCAGAAGAACTGAGCTGCAGGATTTTTAGAAGTTTGTTCAATATAAATGGAAAAGACTCTGGCTTAAATCAGTGTCTCTCTGAGAGGGCAGTTAAAGACATGGCTTCATTAGATAACTCACTTTCCTCCACCTGTGAAGCATGACCATCTTTGCTATGCATAGAGAGAGCACCAGAAGCTTGTTCCAGGTAAACACCTTCTTCCCCTGCAAATGTTGGCTGGTGGTAAAGCCATCAGATGTGGAAGGAATCTCCCCTGTGCCCAATCCCGATGACAAGGAACAGGCAGATAAAGAAAACTAAGAGGAAGACTGTCCCCTCTTTGGGCAGTTTGTCTGTCATGTGTTTGTGACAGGAATGCTTTCCTTTCCGCTGCTTTTTGCTGCCTCTACTGAGCAGGTGGGAAAAAGTGTGGGAAGAACATTCTTCTAAGGGAGAGGATTAGGGGGATGAGCTGCTAAAACAGTCAAAGAAGTCCACTCCCTTTAGGGCCTTTCTTTTTCAAAATAATCTTATTTTATTCACTGCCTGGAAGGTCCCAGAATCAAGCAAGCAAACTCTTCCCTGGAAGAAGAGCAAAACAAGGAGGATTGCTTTCATGTGGCCCTTTCTTCTGAGGAGAGGAGTTAACTATTATGGGAATGCTCCACTCTCCACTGACTGAGAACCAGTGATCTACTCAGGTCTAGAATTTGCTTCTACTTCTTTCCCTTTTGACAAGTAGCAATTATCTCATCCATCAACCAGCAGGAATCCAAGCAGTTCTGTCCCTGACGCTGTTGAAACATTTTCTTTGAACAATTAGCATGGTAACTCTAAACACAGCATTACATCCTGTCATTTTCAAATGACACGGAATAAGAAAAAAATTAGATCCTATTTCCAAATCTAGCTGAACTATTAGAGAGTTTTACAAGAAATAAGAGTGTGGCATGTAGTGAAATCCACAGACTAATAAGTTTGTATGACTGGGGATACAGGGAAGCATCAGGGTTGATGGAACTTGTAGTTCAACAGCTGGACTGGACTGGGTTTCCGACTATTGCTTTATATTTTATCTGTCTTCAATTGAAAATACATGAATATCATCACCTCCCTTTAGCTCCTGATTAAAAGAATATACTATATTTGAAAAACAATTATTTGTGGATACAGATGTAATAAATCTCTTCCCTCCATAACATTCTTTTAATCAGAAGTTAAAAGAAACTAGAATTAGCGTGTTTTCATTTGTAGACAGATGCAGATATAGAAGTGGTGGGGAACTTGTGGCCTTCCAGAGGCTGAATCACAACATGCAACATCCCTGATTATGGAACATAGAGGGGTTTCTGAAGCAGGGTCCCATCCAGACAGTGATAAGGATCCAGACCTGCTTAGCCAAAACACTGTTATAATTTATGCCTTTCCATGACTGTGTTAGGGTCATAAAAAGATCTGTGAAATTCCAAATAAAACTACATTTGAACTGTCCATCATAAGCAAGTCCACATGAAAAACTAAATTTGTCTTTGAAAACTGCCGAAATCTTGAAGAGCAGATAACATACTTAGTGAAAACGCCTTCTATGCCAGCTCAACACTGCCACCTTGCAAGTATATCTAGGAAGTGCAATCCAGGCACATTTGGCTTCAGTACAATTCTCCTCCTGTCATAAACATCCCTCCATACAAAGGAAGCAGCAAAAATATCAACTAGATAAGATCTCACTTCTTCCCACTTGAATGCAAATCTGGAATCCAAGCTTTTAATTCTGAACACAGTTCAGGTTTCATAAGCTTCTTTGCCCAAGCAAACTCTGAGCCTCCTGACAGGAATTGAAAAGGTCTAAGAAAGCTTGAAATCAAAACTTTTAAAGTACAGAAGCAGCCAGGGGCTAGAAACACTCTTTGCTGATCTGAGTCAAATACTTAAGATCAAACAGGCCAACCCCATCTCCAAAGTGAAAGAGGGCAGAGTCAGCCCTACCATTAGGCAAAGTGAGAGGAGCTGCTTCAGGTGGCAGATGCTGGAAGACAGCAGCAAGACACTAGAGCAGTGGTCCCCAGCCTTAGGTCTCCAGATGTTCTTGGACTTCAGCTCCTGGCCATCAGAGGTGATGATGAAGGCTTCTGCGAGCTGTAGTCCAAGAACATCTGGAGGCCCAAGGTTGGGGACCACTGCACTAGAGGAGCAAGCTCAGTGCCTGCCTTGTACTGCTCAGCCCTGCCTGTTGCCTTCGGGTGTGTGATTTCGGAATAACCCATCATTAGTGAACAGAATAAACTGCCAGTCCCTCTGGGCTTTGTATGTGAAATGGGAGGGAGGCATCATCTTTTTCTCAAAGCCAGGAAGAGTTACTTTTTTGTGCTAAACTTCCATTCTGAGTGATACAGCTGTAAGATTCCAGAAGATGAAGTTAGGGCGGAGGGGAGGGAATCAGTTTCCCCAGCTTTGTTTACTGTTTGCCTAAGAATCCTCTTCAGGACAGGAGCAGACCATGAATTCTGCATAGAAGGAAGTCAGGCATCATACCTGAACCCAAGAAGATCATTTCAGACCAAGCACATAAATCTGTAGTGAATCCTCGCCTGTAGTGCCCATACAGCACCAGAACTGAACACCTCAAGAGACAAAGGTCTGGTTGACATGGTTCTAGCAGTAAAGGCACAATAACTAGCAAAAGTGCCTTGGGACAGAAATCTTTTCTCAGTGGGTCAGGACTTCAGTAGGGATGATCATCTGATGAAGCCCACTGTTTTCTTACATCAAAGTAATACATGTGTATCTACCAAAGATCAACCCACATGGCAATATGCTCCCCTAAGATGAGAATTCCGTAGCAATGGAAAAATAAAGGGACTACATTTCCAATCTAGTCCTTTCTCAACAGATGATGCTATTTATTTAAAATTTGCACTTTATTAGGTAGTGAAGTAGCATAAAATCATCATCAGGTTCCCACTAGCCTAATATTTATTTGGAGCTATTAAATTATAGAACTGTCTACTGGCACCCTGAGACTTAAAGGTTTTTAACTTTTCTTTTAATTTATTGTATAAACCTGTTCAGGTAATAGAACACAGAAATACACAAATGTACCCAAGTTTCACTTGTTCAACACTTGCTCGACATGACAATTACATTTCAAATTTTCTCTTGACAAGGGTTATGGAGCTTAATCAACGTATTAACTAATAAAAACTGTTTTTGTGACTCGACAGATCTATTTATTACAGACTTTATTTAGGTGCTCTTGCATCTACAATTTGAAAAATGTTAAATTAATTTAGCCATGATAGTAAATAGAATCTTCCGAAGCAGAACCACAAGATGTAGCAATGGCTGGCTTGCAAAGTCTAATATAAACAAACGTGGTTAAATTTTAGATAATTAGGTTCCCCTATTTAAGAATTACACATTTAAAATCAGCCTAAAATAATTAAAAATAAAGTAGCTGTGGATTCATAACTATCACCTTTGTGGATCACCATTACTGGCACTGTTCTCCTCTACTGAAAACGAGAATGAGTACTCAAGAATTACATAATACTTTTCAGAAAAAAATTGAATCCACCTCCTGTACTAATCTTAAAAGGTCTGCATCATTTACAGCACATCATTTTCTGGATTGAACAGAAGAATAATTCAGTAAGCAAGGAGACTGCAGATATTTCATCTCATCCGTTGCTCTCCTATTTCAGTTGTAGAGTGCTGTCCTCTATATTGCAAACTCAATACTTTTCATGAATCATGTCTGTCTAATGCACTGATTTTAAGTTTTAACTTTCTTCTCACAAGCAAAGAGTATCTGCTTACATGCATGCTAAATTTCAGTGGAGTTGTGCTGTGGTAACTTAACCACTTGTGGTCATACTCCTGATCTCTAGATACGGAAAGTAAAATTGTAAAATGTTAGATATACAATTACTTCTCTTGACGAGATCAAAAACAAGTGGTTAAGTGGGCAGGTTGTTAAAGAAGCAGAACTTGAGTTCAACAGCACTTTCCATTTTCCTCAGCGCCTGACGCACAGTGACATATTTCAATACTAACTGAAATATATATCCTCCATGACTCATAGCTACTGACAGTTACATCATCCCTCAACTGACCCAATGTTTTGAACGTTCTTTCAAAACTGTGTAGCTTGAGTAGCTTGACAGCTGTTGCCACATCTTGTGGAGCTTCTTCTGAAGGTTCAGTTCACTATTCTGGCCAATCTTCTGCTAAACTATACTTATGAAGTGTACTTATGGAAGTGAATCCTATCCATGATTGGTGTGTGTGTGTGAGGGGAAAAAAGAGAGAGATGAAGAGTGTAGGAATGCGAAAAGGAAAGTGGGAATGTGTAAAACCCAGGACGAGAGCAAAGAGGCTCTTGCTGGAGTGCCATCCGTTCCACGCGTGGGGAGGGAAGTAAAGACCGCTTTGAGAGACCCACCAAAAGAGGCTATTCAAAAGGGAACTGATACCCGGGATTTGGAGGAACAAATGTGCAGGATAACTGTTGCTGTTCAAACCCCGGCAGAGTTGGTGGGAATACCCAGGATCAAGAGGGTGGAGAATGAGGTGGGGTCGGCTGAAATAAAAAGGAGGGAAGATCCGATACTTGGGGGTTGGGAGATGGTTTGGGTACAAGACCCATGTTCCAGAAAATGGGAGCGTGTGCGAGTGCTGAGAGAGGAGGCTGATTATCATAAAAGGAGGGGGTTCCCTCAAAAGCCTTCACATTGGGGTGAATCAGAAGCAAGGGAGTGGAGAAGGCAGTTGAGGGAGGAAAAGGGAAGAGAAGCGAAGAAGGCAGTTGAGGGAGGAAAAGGGAAGAGTTGAACAAGAGGAGAAAGAAGAGAATGGTGAGTGGAGGAGGCAAGGAGGAGGGTTTTTCTATACGACCCTGGAACCCCTTTCAAGAGACCAGAGAGATCCAAGATGACCAGTGGATGAGGATGAGACCACCCCACTCCTGGACAAGAGAACCAACAAATTATTGAAGGAAACTGAGGTTCCCCGTTGGACTGGACCCTGGGATAACGTTGACGACTCTAAATTGTTTGCGAAAGAAGGATGACTACCCCCATCCGACTAGTTAGTGATGGGAAAGAAATTATGGGATAACTTGCTTGATAAGGACTTTGTGTTGAACACCCCAGTAAACCTGAATCTTAGTTTAAAGTTCAAGACAACTCGTGATTTTGTTGCCGAGGCCGTTAATCCCAAGACTGAACCCTCACATATTGGCGCCCAACGAGGGAGGCCTCCACACCCAGATGACTGGATCTGCAGAGGGCAAGAAATGTTGATCAAACAACTAGCAGAACAACAGCTATTGATAAACCAATTGATGCAGGCACACGTCAGCCTGATAGTCACGACAGACAACTGACAATCTAAGGTAATGCTGGCCTCGTTAATCCCAAGACCGAACCCTCACATATTGGCACCCAACGAGGGAGGCCTCCACACCCAGATGACTGGATCTGCAGAGGGCAAGAAATGTTGATCAAACAACTAGCAGAACAACAGCTATTGATAAACCAATTGATGCAGGCACACGTCAGCCTGATAGTCACGACAGACAACTGACAATCTAAGGTAATGCTGGCCAAACATCAACCCATAAAAATACAGAAAATGGGGCCACACGACGATCCGGCAGCCTTTTTCAACACCTTTGAGAGAGTGGAGACTTCCGCGTAATGGCCACCTGAACAATGGGCACTGATCCTAACCTCTTATCTCACAGGACTACTTCAGGAGATTGTAGATACGCTAGGCCCTGTAGAAGTGAGCGACTACCTGATAGTCAAGACACGTGACTTTGTTGTGGAGGCCGCTAATCCCAAGACCGAACCCTCACAGAATGGAAGGAACAGTCTCAGAGAACAGAATCTAATTGAGGGAAAGTGGAAACAGTGTGGCTGCTTATTAAGGAAGGGAAGATAGATGGGCAAGAAAATGAAAGACTGGTGTTCAGAATGTGTGTGTGAGAAAAAGGAGGCCCAAAGAGACAACACTGGAATGGAGGTGCATGTGAAGCTATTTATCAGCCAAGACATAAGCTGTGATTCTCAAGTGGTTTTAATTAATCTGTCTTCCCTGGAGTTATGTTTCTACTATAATCAACTATACAGATAGAATAAAGCTAAGAAAAAATTAAAGATCAGCAAACTCATTAGGTGAAGTGAAACTATAGCTGAATAATCCAGTCATCAAAAACACTTTTTGCTCCTCAAAAGTAACAATGAATCGAATCTAAAACTTAGCTGAAAAATCAAGTTTCCAGAACTGGCAGTAATTCCCCCCCGCCCCCTTTAAAGCTGAAAACTCAGCAAGAAAACAGCACAGAGATCCAGCCTAATCATCCTTTAAAAAACAGATACGCCGATACAGTTAAACTTACGGTTGGGTGAAATCTCGAGTAATGAAGTCTGAACTTTTGAAAAGTAGGAAAATGTCACTGAGACATTTACATTTCAGCGAACTATTCATAGCTATCCAGTAGGCATCCTAAGGAAAAAAAGTTTTATTTTAACCACATTTTAACCACATTTTTCACACTGGCATTGGAGAGCCACTGAGCAAAATCCTGTTTATCTTCAACCAACACCGCCTAGACTGCCATAGACGGGGTTGTTTTCTTGCCCAACACATCTCTTTAGGTTTAGAAAGGTAACACAGCGCTGTTCCATGTACTACACTTCCAGTTCTTCATATGAATGGTGGCATTTAAATGAAATATAGAAATGCTGATGAAAAACAGTGCAGGCAAAATCGAGCAGCAGTAGGGCTAAGCAAAATGCGACCTTTCCTGATATTGCTGGACTGCTATTATATCTCATCATTTGTTTTGCTAAGGATAGCTGATATGAAAGACAGTCCAGCAACATCTGGAAGGTTACGCTTTGTCCATCCTCACACTGCAGTTTCATTTTTCTGGCCACCCGACCTTTCACAAGCCATGCTTCCCCACTTCTACGCATGGAATACCACCATGCCCAGCCCTGTGCTGAGGTCCAATGAGGTGGTTGCCACAAGCATCAGACTTGGGATGTCACGGAAGAGAAACACATAGTTTCTTATTTGGTTTGTCACTGCTGTATATTACTGCCAGACTTAAGGAGAAGTGCATGTACGATTTTCTGTCTCGTGTGCCCAAATAATATGGCTAGCTTTGCATATGAAGGACCTTGGCTTTGACGAGTGGGAGGCATCATCTGCCGTTCTGTCTCAGGTGGCACATCTTGGCTGGGCTGTGAATGTTAACTGGAGTGTTAACTGAGGGCCAGAGATTTAAATATCAAATATATCCCATTTTGCTTCTTTGGAACTGTCATGAAAGAATAACTGAAACTGTAATTAGTACTTTTACAGCCCAGTTCTATGTATTCTTAGTGGCAGTTCCTCTTAGTTCAGTGGAGTTCTCTGGTAAGTGATCACTGGATTGCAATCTCAGTGTCAAAGCAAGCACAGAACTGAGCAATTAAATGTTCATCCAATATCGTAAGTTGCCATTACACAGTACAAATTTCCTCCTCAACTGCACCATAGCATCTCTCAACAAAACTTGGTAAGATACGCTCTAGACTGGTCTACTATGTAACTAATAGTAAAGATCCTAGCTGCGTAAGGCTTTTTTTTTCAAGAAATAGAAGTATCTTTTCAGATAACTGGACAAAAAATTGCTAATCACTACTCATCTGTATGACAAGATTAGCACAGATTATATCCTTTGCACAATGCAAACTACAATGCTACAACAGCATTATGTTTTAGGCTTTTGTTTTTGTTTTTTAGTTTGTTTGTTTTTTGAAGACATCAATTAAATTAGAATTCCTGTTATTTATTACTGAAGACAAAAGCAACAGATCTGAAAAACAAATAAAGTATAAGAAATTAACAGGATGGGGCAACTGTGTACATACACAGAATACTCAGAATAGGTCATAACTCAGGAGTACATATGTGCTTTATGTATAGCAGGTGATAATGGATATTATGCATCCTGATACGGCAGGGGGAAGGAGATGAATTCACTGCTTTACATCAGACAGCATAATATATTGGGCCAGTTCTGGGAGCTAGGATTTTAAAAAGTAGACCGGGGGGGGGGCAATCAAATGAGCATATATCTTATATAGCTTGCTACGTTGTTCATTTTTGGTGCAGTTCAGTTTGCCCTGTTTTCCAGCGACCAGAGGTGTTTTAAGTAAGAGCAATCCATCCTACCGCTTTTGTGAGCTGTTCCCCTCCTTTCTATTATAGTGCTAGGGCTGCAGTTTATTCAGTATGATTGGGAGCACTCCTGATTATCCTATTCTGCAGTTTCCGGGATTGCTTAATTTGCTCCCAGATAAAGCTGTGGACACTATTTGCTTGGGTGACAACCATGTGATGTAATGAAGCAATATTTTAGATATAAAGAACTAGCCATGCTACATTAATGTATTGCTGTACATTGCGCGAGTTATGCCACTTCGTAAATTAAACCAAAAAAAAAAGTAAGTTGCTGTAGCTCATGCAATGGCAGCCACAACAAAAAGCAGGGAAAGGGGAGGGGGAGCAGTGACAGTAATTGAAACACTGAGAAATTGGAGCAAGCGCTGTCTAAGTCTTTCTCTGGTGTGAGCGGAAAGATTGCTTAAGTGCAAGATAAAATAGATCACACTGAAGGTAACAGCCCTTTAAGTGCAACAGAGGGTGCTCCAAATTTCCTTGTCTAGATGCACCTTCAGATGATTAGGAACGACAAGCTGGTACGGGGCTGTTGCTGCCTGTAGTGCATCCCAATATGTGATGAGGTAATAACAATATCAGCTCCTGAACGCTATCCTACTTGTAGTGAGCATTAGATGGAGAACCCCCCTCTGAATTCCGAAACAGTGAGGCAAGGATTTCTATTCACAAAATCTTTTAATGTGCAGATAAAATTATTATACTTGGTTGACACAACTGTGCTAAACTAGCAGTAGCATCCGGCTCCCGAGAGAGTGGCTTGTACCTCATCAACTCTTTTAATTTTATTTATTTTCTTGGATATTCTAAATGGTTCCAAACACATGGATTTCTTACAAACCATTTGAGTTTCTTTAAGATTTAATGTTCTCACCCTTGGAGCACTCCAGTTGAGCTTAGGAAAAACACTGCCTCCCAGAGAACAGATGGCTTCTTCGACTTTAAGAGCAAACTCAGGGAATTCTGGTGCCTAGATGGGCAGTGAGAGAGAGAAAGAAAAAAACTTGAAAATACAAAACCAGCCATAGACTGAACAGGTTTGAAAAAAAATTAACCACTGAGGTTGTTTTATACAAGCTAATATTTGCAAAGGCATTTGTAATGGAGTTGAAGATGTAGCAAACAACTTTGGATCACAGTTTCAAACTCCCCAGTGTTCCTCTTGCTATCTGGAGTTTCAAGCCCCATGCAATGAAAACAGCTCAGCATTTTTTTAAAGAATACAAAACGGTAATGATGAAAATCAAACTGCTTAAATGACATAACAAATTATAGTGACTGTCATATGATACGTGGAACAGTGCTGGACAAAATTGTCCTCCACCCAAACCAACCCTCTTATAATCCTGTTCAGAGCCTACCAGGCATACAGAAGATAGGGAATAAATAGAGGATAAGAGAGAATGGAGCTTCAATCCTGTCCTCCTACCTGCTTTGGTACAGGAAACTAGCTCAGTGTCAGGGGAAGAAGAAAAGAAAGTACAGACAATTCAAAGAAACCACAATCTAAGATGGAAGAACCTAGACAAGTCTTACTATTTCAGTAAGAACACATGGAAATTAGGCCCTATGTATTAGCCAAAAATGGCAGCTTTTGTTACAGATCATGGCTAAAGCAAAGATGACAGGACTTAACTGGAAAAGATTACCACACGGGGAAACAAATAAGAATAAAAGCTTTGACTGGTACAGGAGTTCTTCATCCCAAACATTGGATTTGAGGTTTTTAAACCAACACTTTCAAATACTGTAATTCAAACTAGAAAGTCCTAGTCCCAAAGCCAACTTTGCAGCTCCTGCACCCCTTCCAAAAGGTTTTCATCAAAAAAAGAGGAAAAGTCTTGAGGAAAGATAATTCCACCTCTAATCAAGCTGCAACTCTGGTGTGGCCACATCAATCTGAGTAAAAACAATTCTTCAGTCTATATGCATTATCTAAAGCTCAGTTCTGATAACCATCATTACTGCAAACACAAATAAAAAAGAATTTACTGTAAAAAACTGCAAGAGACTTACCGTAAGTGTTGTGGTATTCTCATCATCAGACCACTGAAGACAAAAAAAAAAGGTGTGTGTGTATGTCTTTAAATAGAAGTCTTACAATATTTCTGCAGAATAGTTCAAGTGATTTCCTGCACTGGTATGGAGTAATTCGTGGGATTCCCTCTCTACAATTCTACTTTATCTGGTCTCTTCTCCCTGATTAAGGAGCTCACTCACTGCTGGGGGAGCATACTTTGAGATGATGTCCCAGAAGCCTCTGCACCATGCTGAAAAAGTATGAGTATAAAAAAAAAACAAAGGCACCACTCGTGCCTGGGAAAAAGCTGCTTCCTCCAAAGAAACAAGAGAGTGCCCTTAGAAGCCTCTGTGCCATCTTTCAGATCCAAATCAGTTTTGGGACGGCTGAAAATTACTGGAGCCGTGGGAGGCGTAAAAAAACAAAATCAATCCTTTAGCCTGCTGCCAAATGCTGAGAAATCCTTCCTTCTGGAGCTATTATTTGCATTAGGAAGAAAGGCCATATTGTTTAATACTGTCCTCATTCCTGCTGTCATCTTAATAATTATCACACGTGTGCATGTACAGACACAGCTGATGCTTTTTTTAAAATCAGCACTTTAAATGTAAAGATGCATTTAAGGCCACATCTACTGCTTCCCAATCAGCAACTCAAAAGGTGCAATACTGCTTCCATTGCAGTAGGTACCCTTTCTAGAACACAGGGAGAGAAACCTCCCACCAGACTTATACAGGGACCTCATTCTGTCTTAGAAGAAGCATTTATCGTAAGCCAGAAGTAACTCTTTCCCACATTCTACAGGGAGAGGTGGCAGCTGTTTGAGAATAAATGTGAACTTCAGAGAGAAAAATATCTTCCTCCCCAAAGGTATCTAGTTAAATTATCCTTTCTTCTCTTGCTGCAGATTTGGTTCTCAAGCCTTCCCATCACACTTAGGTTGCATGATTTGGGTTGATTTGAAAGAATTGTAAGGAAAAGACCTTTCCTTTCAGGCAGACATCTAAGCAATAAGTGTCTCATGAATGCTATGTTTGTCAAACCTAGAGATGTTTAAGTGTTTAAAAAATATTTTAAAATAGTTTTTAATCTTGATATATGGTTAATTGCTTTAACATCGTGTATATATATCTATAATATTTTAAAACTGCTAATTGTTGTGCCTTATTATCAAAACTATTGATCGGCCATGTCAGATATACAAAACTAAAATACAGCAAATCATACAGTATTTACAAGCAATACAGAGCAGACTAAAGTTCAAACTGCAGTTAAGTTTAATTTTCTAATCTGACGGCTGCAGTGATTTAATCATTTATTTTCTCATGATACAAGCCACTGCACAGAATTTTGCAACCGTAGCTGTAATTTCCCTTGAGGAATCAGAGAGGAGGAAAAAAAAGTAAACATTTATCAGGTCTACCTGGATAATGTTTTAATACAAGCCACTGCACAGAATTTTGCAACCGTAGCTGTAATTTCCCTTGAGGAATCAGAGGAGGAAAAAAATGTAAACATTTATCAGCTCTACCTGGATAATGTTTTAAATTTGGGGAAGTAAGTAGATTACATGAATCTTTATAAAAGGTGCAATACAGTAGGACATGTCCCATGGTTTCCACCATACCAGATTGGCAGGAGCAAAAACACTGGTTTCAAAGGTTACAATGGGCATCTTCCATCTAAAATTGCTTAAGGGAGGAAAAAAATGTAAACATTTATCAGCTCTACCTGGATAATGTTTTAAATTTGGGGAAGTAAGTAGATTACATGAATCTTTATAAAAGGTGCAATACAGTAGGACATGTCCCATGGTTTCCACCATACCAGATTGGCAGGAGCAAAAACACTGGTTTCAAAGGTTACAATGGGCATCTTCCATCTAAAATTGCTTAAGGCAAAGAATTGAAATGGGCCAGGGTGGAAGTTCTCTCATGTCTCACAAGTTCTTAAATTGCAAAGGTAATCTGCTGGGATAAAGATCTTACTGTGATTTCCAGCTACTGAATAATATGGGACCCATCCTCTGCTGAGTTGCAGGACTGTATCCCAGGTCCTTTTCCTAATATTCTCTTTGGCTTTCATAAATCCCAAATGTAACAAGGGCAAAGAGGATAACTCATAGGACAGCAATTTTCCTTCCACTGCTCTTAGCCAGCTTAAGGGGTGGATATTTATTAAAATCAGAGACGGTCAGCCAATAAGACCAAGTTCTAACTTCAACAAAAGATTGGTTATTTGAAGGCATGCACTTGCTTCAAGCAGGTCTGATTGTTGTATAGCTTTAGCTGTTGTGAACCACCTAGGGTCCCCTATGGAGAGAAAGGTGGCACTAGTCAAAGACACAAGCTGTATAGCTTTAGCTGTTGTGAACCACCTTGGGTCCCCTACGGGGAGAAAGGTGGCACTAGTCAAAGACACAAGAGAAAGAAGCCAAGCGGGAATGTGAAGGAGCAGTCTATATCTCAGTCTCCAAGATATGAGTACAGCAGTGATCAAAGAGTAATGCACAGCAGGCAGAGATATACAAGAGGACCACATGAAAAAAATTATTGCCAGTGCCTTCTCTTTCAATTCAGCAGTCAAAATAAAGGCACTAGAGAGGTTGCCAGGTTACAAGAAAGTCATCCCATCTATGCAGTGACACAGATATGCCAATATACAATCTAACTTCCTGAGAAAAAATAAGAATTAAACCTGTATCTCCTCTGTCTCTTCACTATCTGCATTATCATCTTCTTGTGAGCATGGGTGGGGATCTTCCCTAGAAGAAAAGTAAAGGAACACACCCTTTCAGTCAAATGATACTCTGACCCAAAACCTTTAACATTTAACATGTCTGACAACAATTCATTTGGAAAGAACCTCTAGTCTAAGCCTTTGGGTACACTACACATTACAATTTCCAACTTAAATTTTTTTGCCTGCCAACATAACTTTTTCCTTCAGCCAACATATTAATGTTGAGGTTATGCTGAAGAAAACACACCCGCCATCCTATCTCAAAATATTTCCCATAAAATATTGTGAGAAAGTGGACAGTGGCCTGGAATACAGTTGACTGTAGCATCCTCAGAACCAGCTAACCAAGGACAGTTGCTGACACTGACCCACATATCTACCACCAACATATTATTAATGTTGAGGTTATGCTGAAGAAATCCCATAAAATATTGTGAGAAAGTGGCCAGTGGCCTGGAATACAGTTGACTGTAGCATCCTCAGAACCAGCTAACCAAGGACAGTTGCTGACACTGACCCACATATCTACCACTGATGGACCTCAGCACTGGGGCTTTACCCTTGGTGAGAGATCCAGGAGAGTTGCCATGAGTGAAGAAGCCACACCTGATGATGTCCAGGGGGGAAGGAGACACATCTGGCATGGCTGGGAGTATAAAGGAGGAAAAGGTATAAGACCAAGAGAAAGAGAGCAGCGTGGAAGAGAGGAACCGAGGTCTCAATGCTCCAGGGTAAATGGAGGACCCCCACGCCCCAGTCGTGCCTTCCTACTTTTGCTATATCTCCAACTTGGTTGGGAGTATAAAGGAGGAAAAGATATAAGACCAAGAGAAAGAGAGCAGCATGGAAGAGAGGAACCGAGGTCTCAATGCTCCAGGGTAAATGGAGGACCCCCACGCCCCAGTCGTGCCTTCCTACTTTTGCTATATCTCCAACTATTTGGACCCAGCTCCAGGGACCAGTGCTTGGAAGTACTGCCACAGGTGGGGTTGTGGACCTCTGGATCAGCCTGCACTGGAAGAGTCAGACTGCCCAAGGGAAAGCGCTAAAGCCATCCGAGGCCCTATATCCAACTCCACTCCAATTTGATGCTGGTGATGGCAACACAAATTCAAGATAAGGGCATTCTGTTGGCCACATAGGCAGCTGCAACTAAAGAATTATTCTACATGTATTTTAAGACTATGACATTATGAACATTTTACTCTGGCTTTAAAGCTATGCCCACCATGGGACAGAGGAAACTAAAACTGGATGCTGGCACCTCTTTAGAACATCTCTGAAAAGCGTGAGCAATTCATTCATGCTTATTTTTAAAATACATGCAAATCTTCCTACAATAGAAGCTCTTACCTTCCTGAAACTACCAGTGTCCCATCATCCAGCAAATAATCCGTTACATTCTGTGGCAGTGGAATGATGATACTGAAAAGGAATTTTAGGGTAGTTCAATTTTTTAAAAAAGATAAGAATCCTTTTTTTTAAAACAATCTAAAGTTGAAATAATTTTTAACATTTATGTATTTTTAAAATACGGTTGCATTTGGTCTTTTAACCTGAAGGACAATTTCTTTCCCATGGTTTACGTCTCTATTCAAATGAACACTCAAAATGTACACCAGAGTTCTGAGTACCAGAAGGTTAGGAACCTAGCAATTCCTAAAGAGTTGTGATGCAACCATTCATTTTCTTGTGTGCCATAATCAGCTTATCACTTTGCTATCCGGAGGTTCATTCAATACATTTCCTAGCTAAGCAATCAATCAACAGATCACTGAGATTCAATATAAGGTCAGAGGTTGCAATAATATTTCCTTGTGTCATGTATAGTACCATTGACCATACAGTATCAGTTATTGTCCAACCTCATATGATGTTTACAATCCAAATGGGTAGCCAGAAATAACCAGGGCTACTTACAGGGACAAGGTATATATTCTAGAAATGTCGCATGAGTTGTTTTTAGAGATTGGACAACACTAGAAAGTGGTGGAAACGTATGAAAAACAGAATATTTCTTCAGGCACAGACTTCCTGAGTGATGGGAAATGGTGGCCATTTAAGTACTGCAGAAACTCAATGCCCATCAACCCCAGTCAATATACTCAATATCCAGTGATGTGAGTAACCACAGCTCAACAAAGATGTGGAGGACTACAGATTCCCTATCCCTCCACTAAACAGTTTTGTTTCTGTGCATACCTTTTCCTAGAAAGACTCTTTGTGTTGATGTCAAGTTTGTACATTACAAACAGAAAGGTTATTAGCTAGTACAGTGGGGTCTTGACTTAAGAACGGCTTGAGTTAAGAACATTCTGACTTAAGAACCACTCTCATAAGAAAATATTGACTTGACTTACATACTTAGATTTGAGCTAAGAACTGAAAAAAACCACGGAGGCAGGGAAAGTGCAAAATTTGAACTTTCAGTTAACTGTTGGCCAGTGAAAAGGGGGCCTGTCTGCTTCCTCACTCCTCCCAGCGTTTCGAGAGTGGATTGGGAGACAGTCTTCAGACTGCCTGGTACTGTACTGCCTGGCCTGTATTTTCCCTGCCTTCCCTGAACCTTTCTTGACCTAAGAAAAAAAGAGACAAAATATTCCCCTCTAGTGGTCGAAGGCAGAATAGCAGCTTCCCATTAGTTTCTATGGACGGAAAAGAGCAGATACGGATCAAATGGTTTTCAATGCATTCCTATGGGAAATGCAGATTTGACCTGAGAACTTTTTGAATTGAGAACTGCCTTCCAATACGGATTAAGTTCTCAAGTCAAGACCCCACTGCATGTCTTTCAAAACTTACACTGATCAGTACTACCTTCCATAACAATAACATGCATCTTATCTAGTATAATGTATTCCCTATATTTTGAAATTGTACACATGAAAAAAGCAGAAGTGTTTCTCCTGCAAAGAGGAAGAAATATAGAAAACACACACACACACATACACATAAAAATATGTCTCCTAATACAATATATATATTGGGAGACAATGCTGTAGAATATGTACCTAGCCAAGGGTCTCTATTTGTATACAAACCTCAAATGGAGGTTTTCTCTACCTACTATAAATGAAGGCTGATGTTAATAAACATATATTTATTCTGTTTCAAGCACTAGTCACAGATATAAGCATTCTAGTGGCTTTACGAAAAACACAGAAAAAGCAAAAACAATTACTGTATCTCCCTAAAGGAAACCAAAACCTGGAGAACCTGAAGCTTACAAGAGCTGAGCAGGGTCATTAGAACAGGACATATTGGAGGTTGCGCCTTCACAGGGTTGCCATAAGGTTGAAGTGACCACATGTAGTAACAGCAGCAACAACTATCTCCCATTCCTTGTTCTCTGACTCTACACTTCAGGAAAAACTTTGCCTCAACGGATTCGCTCTCACCTGCGGATGGTCTGCCTCTTGAAATGAGGGTACCAAACAGAGAACTGACAGTTCAGCACCTGCTCCTTTTTCATTATGTTGCCTTTTCCTCTAGGAAAGGCACCACAGAAGATCTGAAAAACAGAAAAGATAAAATAAATAAAATTTCGCCTAGACTGGTCGAAATGACTCGATAGGCGGGGTATAAATACAATAAATAAAATAAATAATTCCCAAAGTGAGGATGAAGCTCCATCACCACCACACAGAGAGGAGAAACAGGGTGAGAAGAGGAAAGGAACAGAAAGAAAACTGCAGGTATTTTATTAAACACCCTAATTTTACCCTTCTTACAATATCTCAGCAACTGTCAAGCGAGAGGTGAATGTTGTAATGTGCTAAGAAACAGCAGAATTAGGGCAGACTAATGCCTCTGATGCAGGGTATTAGATGAAGAAAGGAACATTTCCCTTGCATATGAGCAACAGCCGTATCTTGAGGAGGGTCTTTCTTCAATATAAAGCATGAACTTTCCATTCCCTGGCGCAAATTTCCTAGCAGCGCTGAGATCCAGCAGAAAATGTAAAGAAACAATCGATCCTATTTCCACCTCCTGACAAAATACGTCCTACTGATTTCAATAGGATTCAGTTCGCAGGGACCCGAGGAGAGCCTTGCTGCCTAATTAGGGGCACAAAATCTTCCTGGCCCGGAACCCACTTTCTCCAGACACTTTTAAACCATGACTGAGACAATGACATTTATCAATAAATCTGCCGCTCCAGCCGACTACTGCTCCCCTAGTTTTATTTTCAAGTCATATTTTCTCACCCTTCTGTCCTGTTACTACACGACTTCACTCTCTTCCTCGACACCGTGAGCCGGACTAACCAATCAACGGAAGGGGCGGGACACCCCAGCGTTATTCTGATTTGGTTAAGAGCTTACGAGCGTGCCTGTCGCCGAATAAAACGTACGGTGGACTCCAAAGCCCCGCCCTCTCGCCTTCAGCTGAGGCTGTCACGTCGACGGAGGGGGTGTGCGCGCGAGAGAAACCAATCGCATAAGGCAGATAAAGGAGGCTGACTCTGGTTGGATTAGCGGTATGACAAACATATTTCCGACCCAATCAGTTGCAGACCATTGAGGCATTCTTTCGAAGGCAGGTTCAAAAAACATGGAGATAAGCAAAATATAGAACACCCAGGGGGGAGAGAGAGAGAGGGAATGCAGCTCCTTTCGATTTCCTTTTTTCTACCTCAGTTTTGGAAGCCCGAAGTTGCCCGTAGCAAACAAGAAACGAAAGATTTAGCTTACCTGTTATATGATAAGGAAATATCCACATAAAAAGAGAGCGGCGGATCCACTTTTTATTTTGCATGCTTCGTTCCATATTGCTTTGTTAAATGCAACTATATTATACCTAATTATCTGAGAAACGGCAAATCGGGAGAACGACTTGTTTATCCGCCACTGGCAGTTACTGTTGCACGTTAGGGATGTGGCGGAGGCAGGTTCGAATCTCCACCCAAAACTTACTTTCAATGCAGAAAACACGTGCTAAATTGACATGCACGGCAGCTATTTAAAAAAAAAATAACAAAAGCAGGCCGGTTTGTTGAAGGGGCAGGCTGAGCAACCCCCCCGCTGCTCAATCAGAACCTCGCTTTAAATTTTTTAAAAAAAACTGTCTTCTTTCCATTGCTTTTTATGGGAATTGCTCAACGGGTAAGTCAAAATTACTTCCAAAGTGAGCCCCGAAGAATGCTACTGTGTGTGACTCTACTTGTCTAGCTCCTCGCCCGAAGGGAGCGATAAAGCGAAGCTGAGAGCCCGGCCCCGATTGTGCTGAAGTGCGCATGCGCCAACCTCTGAGCTTGTGCAGCGCTTTGCTGTTAGACTTCGGACGTCAAGCTCGGCGGCTTGTTCCGAACTCGGGTTCGTTCCAGCCAATCAGCAGGGCGGAAGCGAAGGGCGCTCTCCCTTCGAGTTGAAGGTACGGTCCGTGGCGAGTTGTAAAGTCGGAGTAAGTAGCCGCGAAATCACATGGTGGTGGGTTTTTTTGAGGGGGGAAATCTCGGGGAGCTGGGCATTATTTTCCGCCCCTTCCAGTGGGGAGAAGGAGAAAGGAAAAGACAGAGAGAGTTCAGGAGTTCTGACACAGACATTTAAATAGGGACTCTAAATTGGGTTTAATCTGGGTTATATTAAGTATTAATGAAGGAAAAGAGTGCCTTTGAGTGTATGCAGAGTGCATTCTTTCAGTTAATAGCTATAATCTGTTTATTTCTGTTGGTCTTATCCGTAGTGGTTTGCAAAATTTCAAAAACAGAATGCAAACCATACCATCAAAATTCAAGCCTAAAAGAATAATTGGAACCACCGAGAAAGCAGTTTAGGTCTGAAAAGTGGAGAGACTCGCAAGAGAAGAAAGAAGGTGTTTACGGCTGGATAGCTGAAGTTTTATTGGTAACAACCAGTTTCTAAAGTGATCTGTTATGTTACCTGCTGTGGTGAATAAAACCTATCCTGTATTGTATAAAAAGTGAGGCTCCTTGGTTTTTCTGTTATGGGGAGATGTAGCCACAGTGGCAGCCCCCTCAACATCTAGCGAAAAGAAAAAAGTAAAAAAAGACAAAAATGTTGTGGCACTTTGAAAACTGCTGTATTTTAATGTAAGCTTTTGTGGAAGTTTGCCCACTTTTTCAGACAAACAGTATGAGGTAGATCAGAATACAGAGATCACAGAGTAAAACTTTCATGTCAGGCTCTAAGGAAGAGTAGTGTATGGTTGCCTTTCACATGTGCAATTATTTGTTCCCTCTGTTTGGTATTCAGTACTTTTGAAGTCTCATTCTGTAAACATTCTAACAGACACAAAACAAGGCAAAAGGAAAAAAAACACCTGTTGTGTGCTTTAAAGACCATCTGTAAGCAATATCATGGTTGAAGGAAGCAACAGAGGAAGGGTGTGTTAATACAGAGAAAGACAGCTGCCTTGGATCCTTTTAAAAGAGAAATATTTTAAATAAAATAAATAAATGTCCTTTTAAGAGAGAAATATTATAAATAAAATAAATAAATAAAATTACTGTTGAGCCGTGTTCTGAAGTGAGTCTTTATTGTCTACTGTCTTACACCACAGTGAGTTCACTTACTCACAAATATTGCCCTGTTTCTCTCCAGAAGCAACAGTCAATAGCAAGAGGAAGGAGTGACCAGAGGTAGCACAAATATTGCTCCTTCTTCTGCCAAGTAACTGCTCCAAATTAGCCTTTGAATCTGCAGGACAGTGCTTCCTAGAATATGTTGAGCATGAGCTATTTGCTTTACCTTATATGCCAAGACTATGTGTTTCGTACTGCCTTTGTTAGATTGGCTCCCTTTGAAATCTGTATAAGATTTCACTGTCATGTCCCCTGACCTGAGACAAACCGAAGCATGATTAGCTGACATTGCAGTCTTTTCTCAAAGATGTGCCAGCTGTAGCAAATTTGGAAAAGTCACAAGGTTCTTCTGCCAGCAGAAATCTCTCAAAGATTAATCTCAAAGATCTACCAGAAGAGGATTATATCAAATCAAAATCTCCAGCTGAGGGGCACAACTGTTCTGTCCCTACAAAGTTAGGACAGCACAAGGATAGACCTAAGTAGTTTGCAACATCCCTGAGAAGGGTTTGGATTCAGCAGAGCTTCAGTTGGCAAGTTAGAATGGCTATTAGTCTGGATTCAACCCACAGAAATCAAAATGAATGCACTTCTTAACTCATTCTCTTTCCAATAAGATTTACATTCTCAGGAGAAATTTATAGTGAACTGTGCCTGATGTTGGTTGTGTGTGTGTGTGTTTATACTGTAAAGTTTATTGTAAGATGCTGGGACGGCACTCTCTGTATACAGTACAGTGGTGCCTCGCTAGATGATGATAATCTGTTCCACTGAAATTGCTGTTTAGCGAAATCATTGTCTAGCGAAAAGCATTTTCCCATTGGAATGCATTGAAACCTGTTTAATGTGTTCCAATGGGGAAGAACCGTCGTTGTCTAGCGAAGATCGGCCATAGGAAAGCTGCTTTGCGAACCGCCGATCAGCTGTTTAAATCACTGTCTTGTGAAGCTTAGGTCCCGAAAACACCTGTTTGCGAGCACGGAGGGAGCTGTCAAAGTTGTTGTCTAGCGAAAACCAGTTTGCGAAGCAGGGACCAAACATTGTCCAGCGAAATTCCCCATAGGAATCACTGTTTTGCAAATCGCTATAGCGATTGCAAAAAGCCAATGTCTAGCAAAAAAAACTGTCATGCGGGGTAACTGTCTAGCGAGGCACCACTGTACATGGTCTAATCCTCAAACTCATTTGTAAACAACACACATTCAAACACTAGTCGTCAACTGGAGCAAACTGGTAGGATCAAATTGTACCTTTTAATTTAAAATATGCCTGTAATATGTTGTAACATCATGCTGGTAAGTGTGCACCAATTGAATAGCAGATGTGGATAAGATAAAACTGCTTATGTTGCCAGTAAGGTTATGTTGCTGGTTAAAACTTTGAATTTTTGAAACAATATTGCAGGATTTTGCTTTAATGGCTTCATGTTTATTCCTTAACTGGGCTCACAATTCTTTGCGGTTCTATGGGTTTGGAAAAATGAGGCAGAACTGTACTTTGTTCTATGAGATCATTGCACTATAGGCAACAGGACAAGAGGGCAATGTGCCCTTGGCATTTTGTTTACTGCCTTTGGCCTGCTTTATAGTTTTAAATACCTGTTAAACGAGCTTGAATCTGTTTGACCCCAAGGGCAGTTTATATACTTCTGATAGCATCAAGTTTGTTTTCTAGTTTTAATCCATTAATGACTAGTATTTAGATATCTTAAAAGTCTCCTTCACGGATTGCTGCCTTGTCTTGGCAAAGGGTCTTGAGTAATTCAGAGAAGCTATGGGCTATGCCGTGCAGGGACACCCAAGACGGACAGGTCATAGGGGAGAGTTCTGACTAAATGCAATTCCCCTGGAGCTGGAACTGGCAAGCCACTCCAGTATCTTTGACAAGAAAACCCCATGAACAGAAACAAAAGGCTAAAAGATATGATGCTGGAAGATGAGCCCCTCAGGTCAGAAGGCATCCAACATGCTACTGAGGAAGAGTGGAGGACAAGGACAAGTAGCTCCAGAGCTAATGAAGTGGTTGGGCCAAAGCCGAAAGGATGCTCAGCTGCGGACGCACCTGGAAGTGAAAGGAAAGTCCCATGCTGTAAGGAAAAATACTGCATAGGAACCTGGAATGTGGGATCTATGATACCATTCTGATGACAGAAAATGAGGAGGAATTAAAGAACCTCTTAATAAGGGTGAACGAGGAGAGCGCAAAAAATGGTCTGAAGCTCAACATCAAAAAAACTGAGACCACTGGTCCCATCACCTCCTGGGAAACAGAAGGGGAAGATATTGAGGCAGTGACAGATTTTACTTTCTTGGGTGCCATGATTACTGCAGATGGTGACAGCAGCCATGAAATTAAAAGATGCCTGCTTCTTGGGAGGAAAGCGATGACAAACTAGACAGCAACTTAAAGAGCAGAGACATCACCTTACCAACAAAGGTCTGCATAATCAAAGCTATGGTTTTTTCAGTAGCTATGTATGGAAGTGAGAGCTGGACCATAAAGAAAGCTGACCGCCGAAGAATTGATGCTTTTTAATTGTGGTGCTGGAGGGGACTCTTGAGAGTCCCCTGGATTGCAAAGAGAACAAACCTATCCATTCTGAAGGAAATCAACCCTGAGTGCTCACTGGAAGAACAGATCCTAAAGCTGAGGCTCCAATATTTTGGCCATCTGATGAGAAGACTCCCTGGACAAGACTCTGATGTTGGGAAAGTGTGAGGGCAGGAAGAGAAGGGGACAACAGAGGCTGAGATGTTTGGACAGGGTCATCAAAGCTACCAACATGAATTTGACCCAACTCTGGGAGGCAGTGGAGGACAGGATGACCTGGCGTGCTCTGGTCCATGGGGTCACGAAGAGTCGGACATGACTTAACAACTAAACAACAGCAACAATCTTAAAAGTATATCCATAAAGAGTAACTTTGTATTGTCTCAGTACATAGAAATTCTTGGTTTTTTAGTTAATCTTATGCTTTTATTGGCAATATGTGCTCAAAACATTTAATGTTGAAGAGGATATGATTTTACAGGGATTGTACAACAATCTTAAAAGTATATCCATAAAGAGTAACTTTGTATTCTCTCAGTACATAGAAATTCTTGGTTTTTCAGTTAATCTTATACTTAGGCTTTTATTGGCAATATGTGCTCAAAACATTTAATGTTGAAGAGGATATGATTTTACAGGGATTGTAAACTAAAATATAGTTTAAATAAGTTAATCCAATGTATTTAATTGAATGCATTTAAACATGGTTTTGAAGACTGAAACACACAAATTAGTATGCTATATGCACGAATTAGTATGCTATTCTGCTATATGCACGAGCAGCAAGCACCCTATATATCCTTACTATTCGTTTCCTTCTGCATGGGTTGGGAGAGGAATTAACCAGGTTTTGGCCTCACTCTGCTTAACTTGTGTTTTTTTTTTGTTACATGGAACTTAGGAATCGTAGTTTAAAATTAAAATATAGTTTATAAAATGTTTCTAAACATTGAATGGTTTGTAGCTGTCTTGTTCAGCAATGGAGTTTTTTACCTACCATTTCGGATGAATGCATAATAAGTGACCAATTGAACAAAATGGGGCCAAATTCTGGTTTATTTATCATCTTACCCATGGTGGGGGGGAGAATGAGAGAAGGGAAAAAAAGAGATGCACAAGCCTTAAGCTTCATTTGAAGTCCTTTTTGCGCATACATGTGTGGCTGAAACATGGCCTAGCATTACATAGCACCATTGGTTTAACACTAAACACCAACCTGGAAGAGTCATTCTTCCTTTGTAGTAGTATATTTTATTACGGTCAAAGACCAGTAAAACCAAATCAATATAAAATAGATACATATAATTATTAAGTAAAGTCGGGCAAGGTAATAAAATTCCATTAAAACATGATAAAACAACCCCTTCTTTCCAATTAATAACGTAATTGTCTGGTTTCTCTTCCATATTTGCTTCCTTTGTAGAAGACATGATGGAATGTGCCTTCTGAAATGGCATGCTTCCGTAGTTTTTGTAATAGAATTGTAAAATCAGTCATTTTAATTGGAAAACACTTTTAAAAGCAGCCAAATGGTTTTTAAAATTCTTGACGGATTTAAAGGAGTAATTCTTGCAGTCTGAGTTGGATATTGTGGCTGCGTTGGATCAAACATTCCACCAGGTGAATGTAGAAAGCTGTTTGAGGACAAGACCCTGTCTAATATAATTGCCTGATGAGATCCAGTCTCTAGTCAAACTACTGTTACTCAATATTTGCTGCAGGGATGGGTTTTTTAAGATTTATAATGAAAAGCATGAATGGTCTGATTGGGTCCTGAAGGCAAATATTGACTCTGGTTTGTAGAAAGGTGAACTTTGTGCTCGACGTGACAGAACCAACATCCCTCAACATGGAACAAGAAGGATCCACTGAAGCTCCAAAATCTGCCCAAGAAGCAATTATTAAAGAACAGGTATGGAGTTTCTTTCAAAAAAAGACTGGTGTCTTATTTCCATATGGTTGAAGGTTGTGTTCAGATTTTTTGCTAAAGAGTAGTATATTTTCTTGTTCTCTACCTGTGCAGTATTTCTGTCTATGAGAATGCAAGAAAAGTCATCTTCATTTGACTGTGCAAAGCCATTTCTGTCCAGAGATCCTGCAAATTCTCTTTTATCTGAGGCAAGGAAGCTGGATATTGGATCTTTATTTTGTGTAATATATTGAGAATAATGTGTTGTGGAATATTGTGAACAAGGAGTCTTATGTCCCTTTGAAATCAAGGGAATTTTCATGGTCTATATGGTAGCCTGGATTCTTGAAGAACTTGGTCCCCTTCAGCCATTCCAAAGCAGGGCAGAGGAAATGTGCAGGGGGCACACACATTTGCATTCTACTTTATCTGTGAGGACAGGCATTCTAACCCAGAGAGCTGCTTCTGTGCAGTGAGATTACCTATATGGTTTGGTTTTCCAGAGTTCCTAATTGTGTGTGGAGCCTCCATAGACAGAGGACCTTCTCCTGTTTGGAACATTTTCCCCAGCACAAAGCGAATGATTTTGTATCCCTGAAGAAGACTATAGCATTACATTGAGTGAATTATAGAGGTCAATGATTATGAATCGTGGAGAAGGTCTGGTTAGAGGCCATGCTCAATCAAGGATGTTGAATCTTTGGCCCTCCAGATGTTTTGCACTGCACTCCCCATGATCCTTTACAACTGTCCATGCCATATAAGGCTGATGGAAGTTGTAAACCAAAACATATAGAGAGCCGAATCTTCTCCACCCTGAGTTGTTCTTTTTGACATTGCTTAGAAATAGCATTGCTTAGACATCTTCCATAACATTCTAAGAAATGAGATGGACTTTACCTTTTATGTTGGACAAGTTGGAGCCAGAAAAGATGAAGCTGTATCAGTGCTATTTTCCAGTGTCTGCAGTGGGATGTGTTGATAACATCAACGGCACATGGGGTTCATTTTCAGTGTTCTATCACTTGGTGTTCTTGGCCTCTTACACGCATGTTGCTTTCAGGGCCTCATTTCTCATGGAATTTTTGATGGCCTGTGTTAATGCTCCAATACCTTTCCCTCAATGACTCATCCATCCTTTGGTTGCTGTGACAAATCTGCTGGGGTAATGATTTGCCATTGATGTCACAACACTGCAAGGGGTCACAATCCATTAACTTCTTGGTACTTTTGTGTAACTTTTCAGCTAATTGCTCAATCTTCACTTATGTGGTCCAGTGTGGTAACAGTTAAAAAATAATAATCCAGTGATTCCTGTCCATTTTTTACCTGCAAAATGTCTACATCTCACATAGCCTTACTTCTTATTTTCCACCTTAGTGGTTAAACAGCTAGCCCAAAGCAATTTAAAACAAACCCTCCTTCCCATAAGGCTATCTTTGAGTGAGGTATCTCCCCATTTGCTGGTGGGAGAGAGCTGTGTCGCTTCTGCCCCTGTTTGTACCTCTTATTTCAGCAGTGTCAAGAGCCACTGTTACTGGTATCTTACAAAGAAATCCTGGGTATATTTACTTAGAAACAAGCCTCCATTTTGATCAGTGGGTCTTGGTCACAAGTAAGTGTATAGGGTTGCAACTTCCTACTTCCTTGCTTTTTCCATGTCCTCTGACTTCTGCTCTTTTGCTGTATTTCTTACCTTTCTCTCTCTCTCTCTCTCTTCATAGCTGGAGTCTCTCCTTCTAAATTCCTTAGTGACTGCAGTGGCTAAATGGTCTCCTTCCATTCTCTTGCCAGGTTTGCTCTGACAGTAAATACAGGGTTTGTGACATGTGCCTGAGTACCACTGCATAAGGCCCTGGGCCCTAGGAATTATTGAGGAAACCAGTTACTAGGGCTTGAATCCAACTGATATTCTTAACCACTGACCCATTGAATCAGTGGGATTTATTTAAGCATTAAACTCACCATTGTAAAATGGATGCTACCCAATATTGAACTGGAAAGATTCTAAATAAACCCACCCATTTCCACTTGCCTGTAACAAGTGATTCTAACAGAATCCATAGAAAACATTGCTGTAAAAATACCAGTGCTAGCCTTTAAATTGTTTGTTCCAGATGTTAAAATTATGTCTTCTAGATGAATTCAGCCTTTTTTGAAATGTTCTTATAGCTAATGTGTCTAAAGATTCCTGATTAGGTCACGTGTCCCTTTTCCACAGCGCATAAGAAAATTTATAAAAGGCTGTCTTCATTATGATCCTAAAAGTGGAAAGGCTTCATGGGAAGCCATTGTTCATTCATTCCAGAATGGATCAGTATGTTGATGCCCATCCTTTTGGCAGTGGGGAAACAGTTGGCCCATTCATCTATGGATAATATCCTGTCACCATTGAATTAATCGTGATGGAGAGAGATACATACATTCCGTTTCAATACCACATCCGCAGGGGAACGGCTTGATATAGTGTTGTGGAAGATTGGGGAGTACTTTGGCAGTTTTGTTCTGCTAGTGGACTTCCCAGAGGCATCCATCTGGTCATGGTGGGAACGGAATGCTGAACTATTGCGTTTCCCCAAAAATAAGACAGGGTCTTATATTAATTTTTGCTAAAAAACACATTAGGGCTTATTTTTCAGGGGATATTTTATTTTTTTCATGGACAACAATCTACTTTTATTCAAATACAGTCATGTCATCTTCTGGTTGCTGCACAATGGTGGGGGGGGCGGGGTTTCACTTCACTGGGGCTTATTTTTGGGGTAGGGCTTATATTACAAGCATCCTGTAAAATCATACCGTACTAGGGCTTATTTTCGGGAAAACAGTTGATGCTTCCTTTTTGTCTAATCCAGCAAGGCTTAGTTCACGAAGTTTAAGTTAAATGGTTTTCCACACAAGCAATTGTAATGCCAATAGTAGTATTTTTTGTTGTTCTTGTTCAGAATGTCATTAGTGTCAGGTTTTCATTTTTTTTAATTGATGCTTCTCTTTAGACCATTACTGAAAGAAAATGGGTGAAGCTTGATGAGACTATTTACCTTGACCCTACAGGTAAAACAAGGTAACCCATCATTTCATCTGTGTCCCCATGAAGGAATTAACATGTGCTAAACCAGTGGATTTAAACTACAGTGGTGCCCCGCTTGACGATTACCTCGTTAGATGAGGAAATTGCTTAACGATGAGTATTTTGCGATTGCTATAGCGATCACAAAACAATGTTTGTATGTTTTTTTTCATTTAACGACGATTGGTTCCCTGCTTCAGGAACCGATTTTTCGCTTAATGACGATCAAAACAGCTGATCACCGGATTTTCAAAATGGCCGCCTGCTGTGCAAAATGGCTCCCCGCTGTGTTTTAGGATGGATTCCTCACTATACAGCTACCGGAAAATGGCCGCCCTATGGAGGATCTTCGCAGGACGCTGAGATATTTCACCCATTGGAACGCATTGAACCAGTTTTCAATGCATTTCGATGGGTTTTTTACTTTCACTTGACAACGATTTCGTTCTGCAGTGATTTTGCTGGAACGGATTATCCTTGTCAAGCGAGGCACCACTGTATTCTGGGGACTCCCAGGGCTTGAAGACTGGTTCCTTATTCTGATAATGAGGAAATTTCCTTGGAAATCATCTTTTGCTGCAATACCCATCCACAGGATGAGAATTTTATTCGGCTGTGTCGAAGGTGTTCTCTCACTCTTCTGTCTGAACAGTGATGGGACGTAATAGGCTAGGCCATTGCTCTGTGTAAAGTGGCCCTGAACTCTTATGTGATGTTCCCAAATTCTCTGCCGGAGCCATCACTTGTTCGTGGCTGCTGATGAAGCCATGGTTTGTTAAGCCAGGAATGTTGAATCTGCTGCACCATTTTGAATGTTGGTTTAAAAAAAAAAAACACTTCTAGCTGTGCAGCAGAAGCACAGGGACGTCTTCCTTTCCATAGGATTGTAGAATAATTGAGTTGAAAAGGGCCTATAAAACTATCGAGTCCAAACCCCCCCTTCTGTTCAGCGCAGCAACCAAATTCAAAGCAGATCTGACAGATGGCTGTCCATCTGTCTCTTGATTGCCTCCAGTGTTGGAGTGCTTCCTTTTGCCCTAGTGGATCAGATTCCACTGAGCATGACTCATATTTTTTCACCTTTGTTTGCATAAATACTTGGTTGATGGTAATAAATAAACCTTGGAATCCAGTGGAACTGCTAAAAAGAATTAATCCTGGTCAGATGGCTGCCTAGAACTTTGTCTTGCTGTTTCCTGTGACAAGAAAGAGCAGAGGTCACTCTGCAAAACTGGGAAAAATGCAAAACCAATTTGGCAAAACAAAAGGTCATATATATTTGTTCACCCTGCACAATGTACCCAGATTGCAAAAATCTACATTTCCTGCAGAATTTGGAATCCTCTTGGTGCAATATCTGGATTTTTTTCTTTAGTTCAGTAAATGCAAGTGTGTACGGAGCTTGGCATTTGTTTTTGAGAGTCGTCTATCATTTAGGGAAAAAAATTCAAATGAACTGGAAAAGACACTGTGCTTGAAATGTCTTAATGAAGGTCTCACTTTTGTACTTAACCTATCTTCTGTGACATCTATCCATTACCCATCTCTTCAATTTTAACAGAGTGTGGGAGTCTGTAAAACGTACTACCAGAAGAGAGGGAGTTTCTGCTGATGGTAAGGAAGTCTTTTGTTTCTAAATGTGAAACTCTTGCTCCCCATAAATACTGAGTTTTCTAAATGTCTGAAAAGCTGGGGAGCTGAAATACTGGACCAGAAATAGTTGGTTGAATTCATCTATATGTGAGAACATCAAATTCCCCACATCAGACATTTACTGTAATGTATACTTTTGCTAGGTATTGAAATAATTCTTACCATGATGCTATTTTTGTATCATAACTCAGTGGTTCATAACAATGAGTAACCTAGTGTGTCAACAGGACCCGTGTCAGCTTTCCAGAGAAGCTGACTCCATTTGACTCCTCCTTTCATCATCCATCTCCTGAGAGTGACCCTTCCATCAGGCTGTAGAAAGGGGTGGGAGGAAAGCAGGGCCATTGCATTGGAGGACCCACAATGTTTGGTTTCCAATCTGTAGTCCCCTTCAGAGGTGCCAGGGGGGGCCATATGACCACATGTGTCCTCCAGGGGGGGCCATATGGTCTCTGTTGAGAATGGCTGCTCTAAAGTAAAGAGAGTGGAATAGGGGGTTCAAGTGCTGAAAACAGAGACCTGGATCCCTGCTTGTTCTTGAAATTGATTGACTTAGTCTTGGGGCCAGTCACTCTTTGGCTGCGGTGTTGTGAAATGCATAGGTGCAGGGCTAACGTCTCATTGGGAAGACAGACAGGAAAGATGCTTTCTAGATCATCTAAGTGCCTTTCTCTGTTTCAGTGCAGTCTTGTCAGTGTGCTTTGATAAATTTCCTCTCCACGTTGGCAGGTGTTGCTGTTATTCCTGTCTTACAAAGAACTCTCCACTATGACTGTGTTGTCTTGGTGAAACAATTCAGGCCTCCAATGGGAGCTTACTGTTTGGAATTCCCTGCAGGTAGGTGGTTCTACCCTATCCTTTCTAAATTTAATGTGAGCCTCTTGCTCTTTCCTGTCATCTCGGAAGCAAGACAGAAGACTTTGGGATGATTGCTTGAATCATGCTGCTGCCTGCAGGTTTTCTTTTTGAATATGAAGCCTGCTGTTCCCCATATACACCCTTAATGAAGCCAAGGCTTCTTCTAGACACAGGCACAGATCTTATGTATGCATTGGTTCCTTTGCGCATAAGGCAAGGATTGGAGAAGTTGTCCTTTAAAACAAGAAGAAGAACAAGGAAGATGGCAGATGAACCTGTTGCTTTACAGTGGTTTTCCCTCTTCTCAGCTCACAGCTGGTATCTTATCAAGGCGAGGGGGGAACTGCTTGAATCAGCCAAGGCAGGGTGTGTGTGTATCAGGTTTCAGTCTCTCCTATATGCTGCTTTCTATGAGAGAATTAGTGCCCCCTATGCATTTGTGTTTACTTTATATTCAAAGAAGGGAAAGCACATTCTTAAGAGATGAATCAAGACATTTTGCTTCCTAAAACAGAACAGCAAGTGGGTACACCTTGCCCACTGAAGTCAAGGTATGTAGTAAGTCAAGGCAACCAAGTTGGTTGGTCACATGAAGCAGCAAACCTTGTGTCACTCCCCAGTCCTGCAATAACAGCAATATTACTGTCCTTTCGTGACACTCCCACCTGTTTGAGTTGGCCACCTCACTTTGCCCAAAGGTAGAGCCAGCCTTTTGTGCTTAAGAAAGAAACAACTGTCCTGCACATTTAATTTGACCCCTAGTCTCAGGATCTAAAATATGGGCCTCAGTCTACGATTCCCACATCCCATATGCCTGTGAGGAAACCTGTTGTTCTAAGAAATGTAGCATTTTACATTTACATTTCCTGCAGAATTTGGAATCCTCTTGGTGCAATATCTGGATTTTTTTCTTTAGTTCAGTAAATGCAAGTGTGTCACATTTACCATTAACATGTTTCAATATGAGAGTGCTTCTACTGCAGCTAAAAAGTCTGGTTCCTTCCTTCTAGTCTTGTCCATGTTATCTGATGCTTCTAATGCTTTTGATTCAGGCACCATGTGGGTGCTATTGGAGAAGTTGTCCTTCCTGGCTTATAAAAGCAGCCAAAGAGGGCAATGGCCAACTGGGTAAGGAGGTGAATGTCTCCTTGCAGCAGGGTGGGATCCCAGCATGTTTAAAGGAGGCAGTAGTAAAACCATTATTGGAAAAAGCCCTCCTCGAATCCTACTTTATTGGACAGCTATCTGCCAGTCTCAAATATTTCATTTCTGGGTAAGGTATTGGCATATGTGATGGTTTCTCAGCTCCAGGGTTTCCTGGAGGAAGCATATTGTCTAGATCAGTGATGGCAAACCTATGGCACGCATGGCACAGCTGGCACACAGAGCCCTCTCTGTGGGCACACGAGCCATAAGTTGCCACAAAGAAGTACTTGCCTATCCTCCGATCCCAGATTTTGGCACTCCCCTCTGCTGGTGCAGTGGTCCAGCAGAGGGGTGCAAGGGCAACGATGACCAATCTAGCCCAATGGGGGATTGGAGGACCAATAAGTATTTCTTTGTTAATACTGCCCATAGGAAAAAAAACACAAGCATTTAACCCTTATAGTGCAGGGGCAGTTGTTTTCTCTAAACTAAACCCACAGCATTCAGGTTTTAATTGCAGTATTGGCACTTCGAAATAAGTAAGTTGATTTTGTGTTGCAGTTTGGGCACTCGGGCTCAAAAAGGTTCACCATCACTGGTCTAGTTCCATTTCAGTCTGGCTTCAGGGAAGGCTATGGAATGGAGACAGCTCTGGTTGATGGCTGACATATGCCTAGAACTGGATAAGGGGGAGTGTGTTCCTGCTGGTGCTGATGAAACTTTCAGTGGCTTTTGATAACATCAGCAATATTTTTCTGGTTTGTTTCTTTGCAATGGGACCTAAAGGGACTATTTTACAGTGGCTCTAGTCCTTCCTTTTGGGGGGGGGGGAGGGATAATTCAGAAGGTGGTGCTGAGAACTCTCATTTGGTGTCCTGGCCATTGGCCTGTGGTTTCTGTTTTGTTGTTCATGCTATTTAACATATACCTGAAAAAGCTGGGAGAGGTTGTGCATAGCTTTGAGCTTTGGTGTCACCAGTATGTGGATGAGACCTAACAATATCCTTCCTCTCCACCTAATTCCAAGGAAACTGGTGCCTGGTGTCAGCAATGGGTAGGATGAGGGCAAACAAATTGAAACTTGATCCAGACTAGACAGAGGAGCTCTTGATAAATCAAAAGGCAGATAAGGGAATACAGATGCAACCTGTGCTGGATGGGGTTACTCTGCCCCTGAAAAGTCTGCAGTGTGGATGTACTCCTGGATTCATCCCTGAGCCTGGGTGACCAGGTTTCAGCTGTGGCTTTTGCAAAGTTATAACTGATGTGCCAGCTGTGCCCATTCTTTGAGATGTCTGATTTGGCTTTAGTGACGCATGTCTTAGTCACATCTCATTTGGATTACTGTAATGTGTTCTGTGTGGGGTGGCCTTTGAAGACAATTCAGAAACTTCAAAATGGTCTAAAATGCAGTTGCCAGACTGCTGATTAGGGCCAGTTATAGGGAGCTTTTAATGCTCCTGCTACAACAACTGTACTGGTTATCAGTCTGTTTGCTGGCCCAGTTCAAAATCACCTAAAAGGGTTTTGGGCCATGCTATGTGAAGGACTGTATCTCCCCATACGAGCCTTCCTGGACATAAGATCATCAGAGAGGACCCTTCTCTTGGTCCCATTGCCATTGCAGGCACATTTGATGGGGACAAGGGAGAGGGCTTTCTCTCTAACTGCTCCCGGTTTGTAGAATGGTCTCCCTTAGAAAGTTAGGCTAGTCCCCTTCCTTTTATCCTTCCACTGACAGTCTTCAATTGAATAAAAAAAAAACAATTAAATTACACCACTAATTAAAAATCCATTAAGTAATTTAAAAACATGCAAAACTATGAAAGCAAACTTTAAAAAAGCAAAAGACCAGCATCTAGGGATTTATTCATAGTTATTAGTCTTTTGCTCTTTTTAGTAAGTGTAGTTTAATTGCTTTTTATTCAGTTTCTTTAAACGTTGTGTGTTTTAACATTGTGAGCCACCTTGGGTTCCTTCACCAAGAGAAAGGAGGTCTAGAAAGGATAAAATATAAATAAAATATAGGCAATTGTACTTCAGATATGCTGTTTGCTTCACAGGTCTGATTGATAGCAATGAAACCCCAGAGAGTGCTGCTTTACGTGAGCTGGAGGAAGAAACAGGATACAAAGGGGACATCCTTGAATGTTCTCCAGGTAGTTTCTGCTTTTGGTCTTCTGTGTTTGAAAGGAAGGAAGTTTATCCTATCGTACATCACTTTGAAGGCAAGAGGAGAAGGGGACAACAGAGGACGAGATGGTTGCACAGTGTCACCGAAGCTACCAACATGAATTTGACCCAACTCCGGGAGGCAGTGGAAGACAGGAGGGCCTGGCGTGCTCTGGTCCATGGGGTGATGAAGAGTCGGACACGACTTAATGACTAAACAACAACAACAACATCACTTTGAAACATTTAAAGCACTTCAGATATTTTATTTGCAAATATCAAAGAACCCTAGACAGCGTGTATTGTCACCCCTGTTGGAAAGTGTCCCTGCTGTGCTGCATGACTTCTCTTGCACCTTTCAAAGGAGGCAAATGTGGGCCAAACCTAGTATCAAAGGTCACGCAGCCCTGCTGTACAGAGATATAACCACTCTAGTCATCTGCTCTAATTTCTGCACCAGGAACAGGCTATACTCTAAGTCTGGATCTATACTTTAACAAGCAATAGATCCTGGTTGAGTTTCTGAGATATGGCTTCAGCATATTGAGAATTAACAGCCTGGTACAAGGGTAAGCAGAAAATATATCAACATCTTCCAGTACAACTTTTCCTGATTTAAAATGGACTAATGAGGGCTTTTATGCCCATTTGTCTACCAGTAACAGCTTTTAAAAAAGCTCATCTCCTGCACATAGGTTGCAGGATTTGGGGGGGGGGGGACAAGAGTTGTCTACCAGTAACAGCTAAAAAAAAAGCTCATCTCCTGTACATAGGTTGCAGGATTGGGGGTGGGGGGAGGACAAGAGTATGTATGTAAATTTTTGAAAACTTGGTTCTGGTACTGCTCAGAAATGCCCATGCTGAGCATGTGTTCTTGAGGTGCGCTGCTGCTTAGCTCTTAGCGTAGGGTGACTGCCTGAATGGATGTGGTCCAGGATAGTGGCCCTCACACTTCAGTAATACAGAAGGTAGATCCTGTAAGTCTGAAGACTACTAGCCTCTTGTCAAATTAGACCCAATTTCAAATTTGCATTCAGGCATGAAGTTCATCATGTGGTTTTGGACTAGTCAGCCTAATCTATAACCTGCCTGCTGATGTAAAATGCTAACTTTTAAATGCACTGTGATGTTTATCTTAACTATGTCCCCAGATAGAATTAAACAATGCAAGCAGCTATGTGGGTCTGTTCTAGCATTTGCCTTTTCTGCCAGGATCATGGTTTTTGTAAAGCTAATGGGTCATACTTGCCCATTCAGGAAGAAGCCACAACAAAACCAAAACTCCAAAGTCACTCACAAGAATGCAATATTACAACACACAGCAATACTATAGTATGACAGGGGTCTCACAATAGATAATTGTTGGGGAAATTAATCTTCCTGCCAGCTACCATCAGGGTAGCGGCTAAACTGAGAAGGGTTCAGGAATGCTGATGGCAGTGAGTGATTACTTGGTCATCATTCTTGCTGATCAAAAAAGGCCCAGTGCTTTAACCCCATGAGCCCAGAAACCACTGCAACACTATTGATCTTAGAGCAAAATAATGGAGAGGGAGAGGAACAACTACATGTGACACCTTGGGTTCCAGAGCAAGAATGAAGCAATATAAATGTAATAAAGAAGTATCTGTGCAAGGCATTCTGTACTGTTCATACATGTAGAGGTGGAGAGGTTAGAGATTGCTTTAAACATTTCTCCCAGTGTCTGGTTTCTTGATGGTCGGGGTAACTGAGCAATAACAATGTTTCCTGTAGCTTTGTGTTTGGACCCTGGGTTGACCAACTGTTCATCACACATTGCAACGGTCACCATTAATGGAGACATTCCTGCCAATTTGAAGCCGAAACAAAAGCCCGGTGAGTCCTTTATTTGATACCACGTTCTCCCTTCATTGTGGTAAAAAAAATGCTTTCATAGTAAAAACAATATTATGATCTACTTAATGTCCATTGATTTTTAACACATGTATTGAGGGGATGACCAAATATGAGATAGATTGACTCCTTAAAGGAATTCATAGCCTTGAGTTTACAGGAGCTCAGAGCTGTTGGGGACAGGATATGGGGGTGTGGGGGGGTGTTGCTCATTCATAGGTTTGTGATGTGTTAGCACAAAGCAAAAACAATTGGGGGAATGAGGTGTAATTCTTCATTGTAGAGTTGCATCAGCATAAAGAGAAAAAAGGCCAGAGTCCCAAAATGTTAGAAATCTGGATTCATTCCATTTCAAAAAAATGAAGATAAAGCAATTTGTGTGGATTGTTCTATATGCATTCTAAAATATGCATTTCTATATATACATTTTTTAAAAATTGCCTCCATGTCCTACAGACTATCTCCTGCTGCACTAGAAATAGTAATAAATGATATGCCAATAAAGGATGATGATGATGATGATGATGATGATGATGATGATGATGATGATGATGA